GTCAACGAACCCTGCCTCTTCAGCAGTGGGTGCACCAAGTCGGGCCAATGGCGTGGCACCGACGACGCGGCAGAGACGGCGGAGCTCGAACTTGGAAAGGACCTTAAGTACCAGGATGCCGGAGCGGTTGAGGTAGTGCAGGGCGAGCTCGCCGATGGAGGTGCCGCCTATGACGACTTTTACGCCGGAGTCAGCCAGTTCTTGGAAGATCTGTGCACGAAATATGAATCAGACATGATCATCAAGCAGTACGGGCGGCGTTGACGTACCTTCTCCATATGCTTCTCCTCCCCACGCGAGAAGTTCAGCATCTCATCCGCGTTCTTGATCAGCACAGTCCCCTTCGTCTCCGTCTGTGCGATGTCGATCGGGTTGGTAAACACGGCGACCTTCGCCTTCGTAACCTTCTTGACATCGCCCTCCGGCTCACGTCCGAACACCATACCCTGAACGACGGTCGACTGGTACAGACCTCCACCCATGATCTTCACCACGCGTACGTTGTCTACGTTGAATGTCGAGGGGTTCTTTGGCATGACGGACAAAGCTGCTTCGGAGACCAAAGCTGCGAGCTTATCCTCCGAGCCATATTGTTTGGATGCAATCGTCGGCGTAATAGCACGCGCGAGAGAAGAAGCATTCAGTGGTGCGGGCAACTCAAATACGGAAAGCTCTATACGCATGACGGTCAATATGTCACAGATTAAAGGATAGAAGACGTCAGACGCACTCTCGAGCTCTTCCAATGCCTTGGCGGCAGCAAGTTCATAGCCCTGGATGACCTCCGAAGGATGTAAACCCATGATCAACAGTGGCTCTGCCTTCTTGAGCAGTTCACCAGCCAGGATCAGCACCAAGTTCGTCGAGTCGCCCATCTAATGACCACTTGGTCATGACTTGCCTCTACTTCGTCAGGTATATTGGGAGAGCGCACCTCGTTCTCCTGGGCCTGTGAGGCCATGACCAGTAACTTAGCTGCCGGATGTACGACCTCGATCTCTCGGATGATCGTAGCGGCGTCTGAAGTCACGAATAACCTTCCCAAATGATTGACCACGAGCTTGTTGCGGCCTACGAGCAGAGGGTTACATTAGCCTACTATACTGGTAGAATTTGATACCAGCGCACCATTAGGTCCAAAGCTTGTCCTGACCAGATCGCTCAACTCCGCAACCGCCTGAATATTCCTCAACACCGCGTCCTCCAATCCGGACATTTGCTATATTTGTTTCGCTCAGATCGCGTAAATTTGTCCCATACTACAGCGCGCACGCACCTTGTAGCCATCCTTGAACAGCTGGATGTTGTTGGCTTTCGGTACTTTGAGGGACATCGCGGCGAGAGGTTGAGACGTAAGACGCGTGTCTGCAGCAAAAGTTGGCGACGCGTTTGCAGCGCGCCGCGTTTAGGCGTGAGAGGATTGATGGGACGCGATCACGCTCAGGCGCGCGTCCTGGGTAGCTGCTTTCGGCCACCACAGGCCAGGTGACGGCCAGAATCTGCAGGCTCATTGATGCTACATGATTCGAGAGTGCACGAGATGTATGACAATGGTTATGGGAGAGCTGACTTCCGAAGAGTCGCCGGTGACCTCGTCATGTCCTCAAAACCGGACTACAGATAGGAGTGCGTTACTGTTGCGTATACGTAAACGGGTGTGGCGAGCACCAGATAGCAGATACAAAAGATGCTACAGTATATAAATAAACGATGGTATATACCATCATGAGAATTGCGCGAGCCTCACACTCGCCACTTGGTCACGAACCCTCTCGCAGCAGCAGCCACATATTTCATACTCCTGGCCCTGCTTCGCGCGCATCCGTTGGCGAGCGCACCCTCCTTCTCTTGACACAGAGCGAGATGCTCACATGTCCCATCATAATACAGTGCTTCCACGCCTGAGCCGCCGAAGCCCCCGAAGCTGGTGGTCGTATCCGGCGTCACAACTTCCCAGTCGTCGTCCTTATCGTCGTCATCCGTTTCGTATGGATCGCACGGCGCATGCGAAGGAGGGCGTGTATACATGACTTCCGGGAGTATGTATAGCTTCGCCGCTGGTCTCTCACAAAGAACCCCTCCTCGCACATAAACCTCGACAACAGATGTTGACCCACGAATCAGTTTGTCTTCCTGCTCCTCGTCTTCGAAGGCGGAAGGAATCACGGCACAGCCGCTCAAAGTGTCCTCGCTGACGTATGGAGTGTGCGGTACGTCCTGAGTGCGTGGCAGAAAAGGCGAGTGCTGACCATCAGAGGAAGCCTGCATGGTGTCGTACTCGAGAGGGTGCAGTACACGACCGGATGATGTCTGCGCCGGCGGTGCAAGCAAGAACGGGTCGGGGATGGTGTATGTCCAATCGTTACTGTCGTCGACGAAGAGGCGGATAGGCATGCTGACATCTCCTTCCGTTGGCGGGACAAGCAAGATAGAGGGTAGAGAAGATGCGCCCGGCGCCATGAAGAGAAAGGTTGAGCCGGTGGTGTTGATTTCATCGTCAAGTTGAAAGCTGTAGGGTGAAGGAAGCCGATCGTCGTCCGATTGTGTGTCGGACCCCGCAATAAGAGAAGGATAACGAGATGGGTCCACGGTTGGAGGATAGCGCTGAGGAAAGACGCGTGGGACGTCGGTTGCTCTTGGGTATTGGACGGTGTTTGTTCCTGCGTCTGCAAGTGCGTTCGCGACGGATTGAGAGGGCGCCATCGGTCGCGAGGCGCAGTCTGTAGTGTCATCGTCATGAAGAGGTAGAGTGAAGGATGGGCCGGTGCTGGGTAGAGGCGATGAAGGAATCGTGTTGCTGCGTGTCGGGAGCTTCTGCTCATGTACAGCTACTCTGTCGTTGGCGACTTGCCGCTTCGACCGCCTGCTGCCAGACCGCTGAGGGTGGATAGTCCGTATCACAGACTTATGCGAAGCGCATCGAGAACAAGACATTTCTTGAGTTAAGGGGATGCAGGTGATGTTCACGAAAGACGCCGCATGTTCAGTTCAAGAGTCTGTTCGGTAAGACAGGGGTGATGAAATTGCGGCCGGTCCTACTTTCAGCACATGTACCCTCAGATCATCTGAGTCTGGATGATAAGGTAAATGCATCAAGCGGTCTATGCGTACGGGCAAGAGTGAATGTGCATGGCTCGAGCAACATGGGGGTTTGAGTGAGAGAAAGCATCCTGGGAATTGCCGGGATTCGTCGGGGTATGGCCTTCTATGTCACTTCGCCGATGTGTAGATGCGAGGTCAAGCCAAGGAGTACGGTCTGTGCCGTTATGCTAGGTACTCTACATCGCCATAGTGTAGCGGTCGCAGGACTATCCCATTTCCCGCCACGGGCGTCACGGCAATGAACCTCCCACCCCTTCCTGCTCTACCGGAGCGCGCGACGAAAACCCGAGCGCCCGAAGCCTCAAGATCTCGGCACCTACGGTCGAAAGCGCCCACCTCTCATAAGCATCACGCCCAGCTTACATAGGCGGGCCGACGCGGTAACGCGTCCCTCAACAGTGCTCGGACAAGGATGTGTCAAAACATGTGACCGCGTTTACTCTTTTGGACTCATTCTTGCCCACGATTTTGCTCGCTCGCCTCACCGCTGCATCATCCATGTCGTTCAGGGCCGTTATCTGCCTTCGAATGAGCACAGTGTCGAGCATGTCGACTTTCTACGCGTCAGAACTGTGACAAGCGCTGGAGATGCAAGAAAAGGGCGCGGCCTTCCGACCGGGCAGCTTTCCAATCCGCCGCCGATGACGATGACGAGCCTAGCATTCCGTCGCGCGTCTCCTCTTCTCTTCACAGCCAGTCAGCCGACCCTGAGACCGTCGCCTGTGGCACTATATAGTCGGACCTATCGTTCCAAACTCACCAGGAACTCGACCTCTCCCATTCGCATACTCAGCAAACGCGCGATGTCTACCTCTCGCGATACCTCTGATCAGTCCGACATCACTAAGATGAAGGTCGAAGCGGACGGGTCCTTCAAGCGGAAGGACATGGCCTTCCGCAACTTCATCAAGAAGGGTGGCGAATTCGAGCCCGAAGCGGGTGTGTGCTCTTGTTGGCTGCGCTCGGCGCTTACAGGCTGATCTTGTCCATTGCGCAGGTCGCTATCATCTATACGTCTCATATGCGTGCCGTGCGTACCACCACTTGTGCTGAGCCTCTTGAACCAGCGCTCACAGTTCCCTTTCACCTTCAGCGTGGGCAACTCGCACTCTGATCTTCAGAAAACTGAAGGGACTGGAGGACTTTATCGGTACGCCCCGCTCGTTCAACCAGTACGCGCCTCTCTCATGCTGCGGTGTGGCGTCGTAGATGTGACTGTGGTCTCCCCTCGCATGGGCTCGAACGGATGGCCGTTTGCATCTGTCGATTCCTTCCCAGCAGCAGATGTGGACCCCATCTTCCAAGCCGAGCACATCAAGGACATCTACCTCCGTGTGGACCCGAACTTCAACGGGCGCTTCACCGTTCCCGTCCTCTTCGACAAGAAGAAGAAGACCATCGTGAACAACGAAAGCTCCGAGATCATTCGCATGTTCAACACCGAGTTCAACCACCTTCTGCCCGCGGATAAGGCTGCCCTCGACCTCTACCCGGAGGACTTGCGCGCAGAGATCGACGAGGTGAACGCGTGGGTCTACGACGACATCAACAATGGCGTGTACAAGAGCGGCTTCGCGACGAGCAGCGATGCTTATCGCGCAGCTGTCGTGAAGGTATTCGACGCCCTTGACCGTGTGGAGAAGATGCTGGACGGCAAGACATACCTCGTCGGGGACCGGCTCACGGAAGCCGATGTCCGGCTGTTCGTCACTATCGTACGCGCATCTCTCGTACATGTGCTGATACCATGAGTCTGACTGTGGGCCGCTTCAGATTCGCTTCGACCCGGTATACGTTGGTCACTTCAAGTGTAACCTGAAGACCATCCGCCATGGGTATCCGGCCATTCATCTCTGGATGCGCCGCCTCTACTGGGGCAACGACGCCTTCCAATCGACGTGCGACTTTGACCACATCAAGACGCACTATTACTGGTCGCACGCCTCGGTACGTGTTCGCGCTGTGTCTCTTACGCTAACATGGCTCACGAACTACAGATCAACCCGCACCGAATTGTGCCCATGGGGCCGGTGCCGCACATCGAGCCGCTCAACGGTTCGCAGTGATTGAGACAATGACTATAGCAATGCAACTTGTATATCATGTAGAAATATGCGAAAGACTCTATCGTGTCATTGTACTACCATACGAACACACAGAATACTACATCTGTGCCGCACTCTACAAAGATGTAAGCCAACGAAAGTTGGGGTCACGTGTTTGGGCCCAGCGACGCGCCACTCAAATTTGACTCAATTTGACTCAAACCAAACGAGTCGGGAGCCACCTTCCCTCTTGCCACCACCTCAGCGAGACATTGCGCGAAACACAGTTGAAAGCTTTACCAATCTCGCTCTCGAACAATCACACCGTATCAGCCTTGCGAACTTGAAACCACTCAGTGTCGGAGCCGAAGACAGTAACACAGCCACACGGAATGGATTTACTGTATCCCGAGAAGAAGGACGCCTTGTATGCCACCAGTCTGAACTCCCCAGGAGTATGCTAACACCATCGTAGCGACAGTTTGCTTGCGAACTTCACCCCCTCGAACTTACGATCTGCCCCATCTCTATTACTATCTTCCTCCCGCCCGGCTTCACAGATGACTAGCCATATTGACGCGGACCTCACGCGCTTGGACGAGTTCTCGCGCGCGCTGAGGACGGAGCGCAACAAATGCGTACACCTACTTCGTCTGCCCGTGGAGGTCATCGGATACATCATCGAGCTCTGCGCGCGTGCAGAGCCGCCCCGACCTGTACAGAACCCTGCGGGTCCGGTTCACCAACGCCCGGGCTCCTTCCCTCCAGGGTGGTTAGGCTGGGTCAGAATGGGACATATATGCACATTCCTTCGACAAGTCCTTCTGGAGATGTCGGCGCTTTGGGCGACGGTGCCCTTCACGCTATCTAGAGGCCATACGGAGATCATGGCCAGGGCACGCGATGCCCCGCTCGTCGTAGACTTGCGCTTGAATCACTCTTGGTCTGAATTCCTGCTTCAATCCGCCGAGGCGCATTTTTCATCGGCGAGACTCATACGGATCAAAGGAGAATTCCACAGACCTTCTCTGAGTTCATTGGAGTTAGGGATGAAGGACTTCAGAGCGCTGGAGGAGCTCGAGTTATCTGGATGGACTATGGATCAGAACGTGACTAGGGATACCATCGACCTCCCACCCATACGAGCGCCCCGTCTCCGTCATCTTCAGCTCGACAATCGCTTTATACCCTTCAATCCATCGGCTTTGCAATCGCTCACCCTTAATTACCACGAGTCGATGCCTTCTTCGTCTGGTCCCAAGCATTTTCATGGTCCAGCTTTCTTAGAGTTGCTGTCCCGTTGCACAAGTTTACAGCGACTCTCTCTTGGCGGCATGCAAATCGACGAACTACCGACACCCTCGTCGGCTCGCGCGCCTATATCTCTGCCACGCTTGAAATATATCGCGATGATTAGCAACGTCGCCTTCTGTCGTTCTGTCTGGTCCAACCTCATTCTCGACCCGCATATCTGCGTCAAGGTCACCCTCATCAGCCCTTACCCTCAGGATGACAATGTCTCTGAGATACAAGCGGTACTCGCGGATGAAGATGCTTTCATAACCACACTTCTCCGCCGCTTCAGCGATCCGGAAGCACCGAGTGTCACCGGCGTCAGCCTGGATTTCCGAGAACAGGACCTTTGTCTCGCACTCGCCGTGAGCGACGTGGGAGCTTTCACGGACGAATATCAAGGGCCCTTCAAGGATGATAGGGCTTTCGCGTTGGACGTCTACTCGCGGAGACACGACCGAGGTCTCCGAGCAGCCCTCTTCGAGCGACTCTTGGTCGATCTGCCGAAACAGGTTGACTTGTCCAACATCGACGCACTGGGGCTTACGCTATACCGAGATAACACTATCACGCCAGCCCAATGGCTTGAACTACTCGCGCCCTATCATTCGGCGCGGGATCTCGTCCACGACGAGTTCCCTCCGCAACATGCTTTTTGGGCTGCGCTATGTCCACCTGCTGAAGTCCCACTTGCCCTCCCGAACGTCCGCACTCTGTTTGCTCTACCCGAAGAGCCCCAGAGCATGTACGACTTCAATTCAATGGCGTCGACACTCAGCGAACGGCACGTTCCTTGGGCAGATATACCGGCTGGCCTCCATCGTCGCGCGAGCCGCGGGGCTGCCATTGAGCGTATCGTGTTGGGGACGTACTGGGATATATCAAAGGTCGTAGGCGCGGAAGGCTTACAGGCCCTTCGATCTGCAGTTCAGGAAGTAGTGGACACCCGACAGTATGTCAATGGGTATCTGGTAGTGCCTGACTTTGATGATTGACGACGTCCACTCTTGACCTTATTCTCGCATTTATTTACTTCAAGTTTCGGATACAAGAACAAGCACTGCGACATTTAGTGGGAGATACAGTATTACAAAAGTTGTATGTGAGACTACATATTCCCCACGCAAAGGGCTTCGGGTCGATGAGCGACAGGGTTAAGCCGCAGCGAGTCGCCGTGAAGCTAAGCAGACAGAGTTCAGATGACGATTTTGTGAGAATAAGGGAGGGAGAGGGCAACTCGGAACCCTTATTCTTGTTGGGCGAACTTCAAGCGTCGCCAGAGCTTGGCTTGCGGGACTTTGCGACCTTGTTCCTCAGTGCACGCTCGCGCAGTTCACTCTCGCGCCTTTCAAGTTCTTCTCGGTCCTGCATAGCGATCAGAGAGCGCCTCTACGTCAAGTGTGTGCGAGTAGCATACCTTCCCGTCAGCACCATCAGGCCGTGCTCGGCCGTCCTCCTCCTGAGCGACTCGAGCCTGGCCCTTGATCTTGATTCCAGCAGGTGGAGAAGACCGCGAAGGCGAAGAACGCATCGAAACATCGCTGCCACGCCTGCGACGCTTGGGAGGCGGGGACCGTGAACCGGACGGGGAACGACCTCCGCGGCGAGGCGGAGTCGAGGACCTGCCACCTCGGCGATAATCAGGCGACTTCGAACGGCCGCCGCCGCCGCGACGGGGAGGCGACGGTGAGCGACCACCACCACGTTTTCTTGGTGGTGGGCTTGGGCTGCGACTCCCCCAACGACGTCTTGGCGGCGGTGAGCGGTCGTCTCTCCTACGAGGGGGAGGCGAGCGACTGCCTCGCCTACGAGGAGGCGGAGAACGGCTGTCCCTGCGCCTGGGTGGTGGAGAACGGCTATCACGTCGCCTGGGCGGAGGGGAACGGCTATCCCGCCTCCGTGGAGGGGGCGAACGGTCACGTTTCCTCTGCGCAGGGCTGGGTGAACGCCTGCGTGGAGGGGTCCGAGACCGCGATGACCTGTCGGACGAGCGCGTACGACTCCGCCTGAATTGGATCATAGTTACATTAGTCCGCGTATTTTGGAATAACATCATGGAATGTGCTGACCTGCGAGGAGGTGAGGGCGAACGAGAGTCGAACCGACGGCGAGGGCGCCCGCCCCCACGACCGCCCCAACCAGAGTCGCGCTGCCTATTGTCGCCGCCACCACCCGGTCCACGGTCGTCCCAGCCGCCATACCCTCCTCGGCCTCGACCACGACCACGCCCTCGTCCGCGACCTCCACGGTCCCCACGCTCGCCACGTTCTCGGTCGCGTATGTCGTCCAATCGTTGCCGACGGTCACGTTCTTCAAGGGCCCGAGTATCGCCAGCACGAGCAGCACGCATTTCCGCCTTCTTTTCCTCGACTAGTGTCTGGGGGACACCGGCAGGAGACTCTTGAGCCTCGAGAAGTAACTTCCAGAGCGACAACATGAATGTCGGCGTTTGGCTCGTCATAAAGCCTGTCAAGTATATTTGCATCTTGCGCGGGTCAACCGTGGGCTCCTCAAGATAACCCAGAGCATACTCCACAACAAGTTCGTCTTCGTCTCCTAAGAGCTCGACGACTTTGCGTGCGACCCAGGGCCGCAGGACGTCGAGGTTGACTTTGCGCATGTCGACCTTGCGGTCGAATTCGGGCGGAAATTTCAGTGTCTTGAGTAATTTCGCATCCTTGTCGGTGAAGCGCCTGTCTTGGTCGGCTGAAGTGCCTTTAAAGAATCCTGCAAAAGGTATGTCAACGAGACAGTCGAGGGGGATGCGGGAAATATACGTACCTGCATCGGCCATGACGGTAGGAACAAAGCCGCGGTTACCGCGACTTGGACTCGCACCGTCACCACGTCCACTCCACGATTTCAGTTATTGCCCTTCAAAGGATCGAGTATTTCCATATCGACGTTGCAGCCTCGGCCTCAGGCTTTGCTCATATGCGTATGCAGGGGACATATACCAAGGGGATATAACTTGCGCCCGTTTCCGAAGTGCCGTAGAACGTATCCTACGGGCTTCTATATGGTGACCGGGGCCTTTATGGCTCATGGTCGCAATCTTCACTGAGGATTAATGGCTAAACGTGCGCGTCCTTCTGCATGCTGTAAGGTGTCATGTGGCAGGTATGTATAGAATCTGAGTTGTATGGGCGAGAATGGGCTCAAAGGCTGACCCTCGATGAAGGAAAGGTAGTGCTCTTCATGATAACAGATCATCCTCTCCGTGTCCAGCACATTGCGCATTCTCATTAAAGGTCGCTGGTCTAGGATTGGCGGTCCAACTTCCTCGCCTCTGAAGTTTGTACCTCAAAACGCCTTGGACGGGATGCGGGCGCATGCAATTCCTCGTTAAGCGCCGCTTATCAACATAGCGGTCCGCCATCCGTCTTCACAAGGGGTTTGTGATGGCTGTTTGCAACACGTATGGCACTTCTTCCATACCGTAGCTGCTACGAGGAAAGAACTGGGTGTAGCCGAACCCCGGGAAAGGTGGCCGGAATATCGATCCGATTATCCGATACTCCCGAAGCGCGTGACGTCACGCGTCCCAAGCCATCCCTCGACGTGGCGAACGTCGCCTGCGGTTTGCGGCTCATTGGGTGTTCCTCCTTCATTCATAAATCTTCCCTTACACTTCCTGTCTAGTTACTTGGCGTGTCAGAACCTGAACGACTTCAAGAGGTACCGTCGTACGCCAGGACCATCCATCTGTTTGAGATCAAGATGAACAACTAAGCGCTCTAAGCGCTCCAAAACCGACTCAAGGACACACGAGGTCCCGGCTACAGTGCGCGACAGGATTAACGATTGCTCGCGACGGAATCTATGCTCTACATATCCTAGATCTCCTTCACGTACGGACAGTCACAGCAAGAAGCGTCATGGACTCGGCTCAACTTGCACCAGGTCCATCTCAACGCAGTATGGGACTTACACCGGTGGTATTCCATTATTTATTCTGCCCTTTATTTTGGAACCCCTGAATCAGGGTAACAAGTCAAAACAATACATGGCCCTTCTCACTTATCCAACGTGCGTAGCCTCCACGCTTGTGTATTGGACTCATGAGGAACATTACGTAGGTTCTTCCTCGTCCCTGTATGCAGAGAAAGCGTACTCGGTCGATGTGACTCCAGTTTATATCGCTCGAAGAAAGGACTACCGATCGTCAAGAGCAGTCCGATTCCTTTGGATCATGTCCTGACCATCTCTTCGTTGTAGCGGCCAGCCTCACTATTTCCAACGGCGAGCACACGTCTACTCCTATCTTGCTCTCGTGAGACTGCATAGCGTATGCCGTCTAATGTCCACCAGAAGACTCGCAAGCGCCCATAAGATAATAAGCGCAGCTCTCAGGGTTCGTATTCGCCCATTACGCGCGTGTCTTTCAGCCACCGATTGGCGACGGCTCATGCACGAGCACGAACACTACACACGGATGGCGGTGTCAATGGTAGCGGTAATCTGATTTCGTCTCAAGATGGGTTATTTGGCACGTCTTGCGTGCTCACGCTTCTATCTTTCGAACATCATTCCCTTGTACCGCTTCTTGTACCATACCGTTCCTGTACTCCGATACCTTCATATGTCTGAGACGAGCAAAAACGTCCTACGCCAAGTTCCAATAGACCTGCGAGACTTTCCCAAAAGCACGTTCTTTGGCTTTTGATGCCTGCCTGAAAGGGAAAGGCGGGCAGGTGGAGGAAACTCCCATCGAAGCGCGTGGCCATCAGACGGCCAGGCTGATAGCGCCGGGCGCACCTTGTGCTCCCCGACCGCGAGCGGCTGAAGCTGCCATCGTCATGGCCTCGTAAGGTCAGCCTTAGGCCGCCATGTCCGACGTAGGCTCGCGGCCACCGCCGCCCAGCGACGGCCTCAGCGGGCGCTCGCTCGCCATTCTCCTCGGCTTTCTCGCTGCATTTCTGTTGGTCCTGGCATTCGGCTATTACCGCCGTCATGCGCACTTGCGCGCGCTGCGTGAGGCGGGGGAAGCACCTCGATTAGACACTATTGCCAGGAGACGGAGAGTAGGGCCAAGACCTATACTTTCTGAGGTCGACGTGGCGAGAACGGCGAAGCAGCCGACGTGGACATCGATGCAGGTAAAGGCATCCCCCAATTAGGTTACCCCTTCATCTTACAATCATCATTGTAGCCTTTGTCCGCCAGGATATACGAGCCGTCGACATCCCGTGAGCGCCATAGACAGCGCCCTCAACCACGGCGATTTCCGGCACAACGGGATTTAGAGAGCGTTATGGCCGCCGCCTGGTTCGGCGGGATGCAGGTCAACCCAGCGCCGCCACTACCTGGCACCCTGCCCTATCCGCCGCCATCATTGCCGCAACCTCAACCGCCACCGCCACCTTCGCCTCGCTCTGTACCCCAGCCCGAACTGCACGTTGCTGTTCTTGTTGCGATGCCACGACCACCAACACCATCACCCGTGGGACCAAGTATAGCACGTTCGGGCGAGACCCACGATCACCCGCCAGATACACGACAAGAGGTAGCGCTGGGACTCGCAACCATGCCTTGGCGGCATACCACACACGAACGCGGTGTTCCCGCCATGTGGAGCGCGGACCGCGCCGCGGACATGCTCGCATAGTCCCATTCCATTCTCTCCCACCGCACATGTATCCCAGCGCTTCTGTACAACCACCGACCCACCCGTGCATTCCCGTATCCCTTACTTACCCTGCATCATCCATCCCTCCACCTCTGCCTCTGTCTGGATCATATACTGTTATCCGCTGTGTTTCAATTGCTCATTCGCTATAGCTCTGCTGTACCACCTGCTTAATCGATCTTGACCACCGTGACTGTGGTCACCGCCCACTGATAGGGTTGCCTCACATCCTGTTATGCTTCTCATGATACAGATCGCGCAACACTCAGCACTCCAGCTTCTTTCGAGTGTCAGCCAGGTCAGTCTGCGCCGCACTTGCCGCATCTACGCAGAGGAGGATAGTCCTCATGCTCGGACGTTTTCCTTTCGGGTATCCCGACGTCCACGCTGCCGATGGCGCTCCCATGACGCCCCGCATTTGCTGCCTGCGCAACGCATTCATAATCGCACATCTCTGGGCGCAGCGCCTGTCTTTCCGCTGTGGCTTCTGGATTGATCCCACACGCGTGCTTCGCAATTACTATTTGCGACTCCACTGGCACCTGAGCGCGCTTGTGCGGCCGCCTCGTCCTCTTCTCTTCCTCCTGTGCTTCCTTACTTATGCTTCCCTACGTCCTCGACGTCAGTATTTATCCAGATCTTCCCGTGTGCTCGATCGCTCCGTCATACTCTTCTTCATTCGGCACTGTGTCCGTATAATCTTCCCGCGCAATACAATCCAGTCGTTCCCATCTTATCTCTCAAAGCAGACTTCTCTTCCACGTCCAAACGAACGTTGACAAAGACGCCCATTTCTGATGATACGTGAGCGACTCGTACGTTTAGTGTCAGCTGTGAGGTCTCCCTTTCGCAAGCAGCCGTGTGAGGCGGGGGTCGTTTACCGTGCCGGAAAGCACGTTCGCGCAAGGAGAGTTAGGCAGAGACGTGGAGATGCTGGTTCAATAAGCAGGGGGTGATACACTCTCTCGAGAGCATCATGATGCTCGGCGATATGTCAGATGATCAGCAGCGCGATACGTGCGCACAGTATCAGAAGGAGTCTGGAATAGAGCGCAATTCGGAGGCTCGGGCTGGAACAGCTACGCGGGCGCTTAACCCTGCGAGATCATCAAGTTCTGACGCGGACTGCACTCCTATTGTTCTTACAGGCGACGATGAGCCGTCCGACATGAGGACGTTGTTCTGAGGGCGGGTGCATGGGAGCATAGAATTATATAGAAACTGAAATAGGTAATGCGGATAGGTGTTACAGACGCGTGACGTCACGCGTCATGAAAACTTGAAAAGACCTTCAAATACTTTCGGCTCCCCATCCATAGTTATGCGGATGCTCCCCTACGACGCGCACTTCTGGCATCTCTTGAAGACGCGAAATAGTCGCGCGTATATCGCCAATATGCGGATCGCGATCCCACCCTCCAGCCTCGATCTTCTCTATAGTCTCCCACATTGGAACTTCGACTGTGCGCAACGGGACGTCCCAAGCGCGACGTTCATAGATGATGTCTTCGAGGACTGTGCGCGGCTTTCGTGCATGCATCTGCGGTAGGTCGCATACGATGTCCGGCATGAAGTACCTCGTCAGGACGAGGTAGCGCAGCTTCGGAAACGGGAGTCTATCTCCCGAAAGTGCGAGCATTTCGAGACCTGCGGGACGCTGGAAAGCGTTCGATTGGCTGATGAGATAGAGGGTTTCGACGTTCGGGAAGGCCATGATGACTGGCCACGGGTCACGTACGTCGGCGTGTCCGTTGAGCGTGAGGGTGGTGATGTTGCTCAAGTCGAGACTTGGCGAGAGGGCGGGGAAGGTATTGTATTGAAGAGTCAATCGCATCTCGTCGGGACGAGGCGGCTTTCTCATCATCCAGGCGAGGTAGTCCATAGGGTTGGTGTCTACTGCACGCCGCAGCCACACCTGAATCTCTCCAGGCGTAGATATGATATGGCCGGGGATGAAGTCGTTGACATATCCCGCGGTGAGCTTGATTGTGGCGGAACGGTAAGCGTTCTCCTGGCTCGAGTGCAGACCCATGCACGAGGCAAGATGCGTGCACATGACCTCTACTTCGTGCGGTGAGCTGATGTGAACGTCTTTGATGTTGACGTGCGCGTTTGCAGGAATGTGCGTGTGATACAGAAGGTGAGCGTATGAATCTAGGGATTGTTCGAGCTGCAGCTCCCGCAGACTGGGGAGGTCGACCATCGTCGTTTCGCCAGCCGGCGACATGCAAGCTTCGTTACAGTCATACAGACTGTACCGTGCGGCCCGTGACTCTTCAGGGTGGCCATATAGCAAGAGTTCCGCGAGGAGCGGCATACAACGAAGGGCTTCAAGAAAGCGGGGGAGGGACGAGTCTGGCAAACGCCCTGAATGCTGCAGATGCAGTCGCCGCAACGATGGAAATGCTGATACCCGCCAGTCAATAGTAGCGAAAGGCGTTTGGGTAAGATTAAAATCAAGGCACCGCAAGCGCAGTGCATTGCGACTCAGGTCACCCAGCGCTTCTTCCCACCCTCCGAGTTGACGACTGCCGCTGCTATACATATACACGTCGAGTTCTTCCAGAGCAGACAAGTGGCTCTTGAAGATCGGGTTCAATAGCCCTTCCTTGTCACTATCCATGTTGATCCGCAAGCGTTGGACCCGAGTGGACTCAGTTGTGACGAGGCCGATAAGCCTGGAAGTCTTTGCTGCTCGACGGTCGTCGGGATAGCGATAGGCCACGTCGAGTAACGCTCCCTTGCTGCGCCGCATGAACTCGTCGAGCCACAGCGGTCCGAGGAGGAAGCTAGGCTTGGACCAAAGCCCAGCTTCTTCAACTGCGACGCGACGCCAGCGGGCGCACACGAACGTAATTTGTATCCAGCCCAGTCTCGAGGACGCCGTCGTCTCGTCCGTGCAGTATCGACTTTCTCGATTGGCTTTGCGGATGGGATCGGCGACGGTCGCGCAGTAGAAGACGTGCGCTAGAGTCTCGTCTGGGAGGATGGTTGTGAGATCCAGAGAGGACATTGCGTGCACGTATCCGAAGGCGTGGAAGAGAGCGGCAATGGGGGTTCGAAAGCAAGTCGAAAGGAAACGCTGAGACGAGCGTTAAGGTAGGTGATGGGCTTCTCCTGCACGTTCTGATCGTGATAGGTAATGTACCCGTGGTCAGATGCAGATACGGCGTGACTTCTAGCTCTTATGGGCCAGTCGCACACTGTCGTACAACGATAACGAACCATAAAGCTTGAAGTATAACCCTTCTGACGTTGGTAAGCCTTCAGAAGCAAAGTTCTGGCGCGGCACTGTTCATTTCGGCGTCGCTCGCTGGTCCGATGCACCAAGTGCTATCACGCCGAACTGCAGGCACTAGGGGATATGGTGTGGCTTAGATGACTATTATACGCGGTATGAAGCGCTGAGTGGGTGGTGGCTGATCGAGGTCAACGTCAAGAGGAAGGCTGCTGTGAGCGACAGGATGCGGATGGGCGCGGCCGTGCCGGATCAACGGAGGTTTCGGCCGACCCGCTGAGGTTTGGCCGAGGTGGTGGTCTGTTTGCCTACGACCAAAACTCACTGAGCAGTGGCTCGCATCGAGAGGAGTTGCATGTTGATAGTCTTAGAGCACTAGAGTATATAGTAGCAATACATGGCCGCAGGGCCGGTTGATCACGGATGATGATCACTGTCCACCACCTGCACACTCGAGTGCACAGAGCCGCCCGTCTTGACGCTGCTGTCCTTAAGTTGAGCTTGACATCACACGATAGCAAGTGACCTATACACACTCGAAAGCGAGACAATCGGGTTGAAGCTCCTTCTCTTCGTAGTTCTGCTCTTGGGCCTCGCTCCCGCTGCTGGTCTCATTGCCCAATTGAGAAGCAGCTTTGTCGGCATGAAGGCGATCGCGGCGCGTCCTGGATCTGACAGTCAGCATCTACGCACTTCAGGACTTGATATGTACGTACCCCGTCTCAAGATCGACCGAGAGCTGTATTGGTGGCGTGTCGAACTGGATCGTACCCAGTGTTGATTCCGTGTTGCTCGGAGCGCGCGGGGCCGGCTTCCATCCGAACCACTTGCCGACCCAAAGAATGGCTCGCCAGTACGTCGCGCGAGCCTCCGCCGTCGAACCAAAGAGCGCAAAGATAGCGTATGACAATACCAATGCAGACCAAAAGGTCGCATAGAACTCAGCGACGTAGGCGGGCCCAGCCTCCAGTAACTCCTCGTACGTATAAGTCGGGGGTGTCCAATCGCGGTGGACCTCCTTCCATCCGTTATAGAAGGGAAATCCTCCGGATTCCAACGCTGCAGATGTGTTCAGGACGACGCTCGTGATGCCGTCAGGAAGCGTAATGAGTATGTCGATGCTGGCTAGGGCGAAGAGGCGGAAGTAGCTGGTGCGTGAGACGGATCCGGAGTTGTTGGTTTGTAGGAAGCGGTTGACGTCTCTGCTTCGGAGGTAGAACTCGCGTGCCACCCTCGCTGTGGATCGTTAGCGGTGTTGTATGATAATGCGCCTATGGTACGTACGGTAGTAGCAGGTGATGGAGATTAGAGGGAGGATGATTGACCAGCTGTCGAGCATTAGGAGACCAAAGATGGAGCTGTCAACTGCGTTGGTACAGCCAAAGCCCTCGTCCATCTCGAATCGGGATGATTGGTCGATGTAGTCTAGACAGAGACGTATGAGATCAACTGGCGCTGTCCTTCATCGCACAACTCACATATAGGTCCTGCAATCAGTAAAGGGATGATGACGCCGAGTGTCCACTCCAAGAGGAGTTCACGCTTTCTCTGCGGAGGGTCAGCCTGCGTTCAAAACCAGTGAACTGTGATTCCCGTACCGCAGCCGGACTGGACATGTCGACGGACAGCAGACTGACAATGCAGTACAGCCGACGACTGATGATTAGGGTCGACATTGGCTTCACCACGACCATGAGCACTTGTAGCCGCGACACTGAGATAGAAGTCAGCAACTTAAACACCCATGCGAAACAACACGCGGACCTATATCGCAGTACACTTCCAGTTTGATGTCAACGTTATCAGACCAGATAATCGTATTCGCAGCCGCAGTGGCGTTCTGAAGAAAGAGCCAGAAGCACAATATGGCCACGCCGAAGTTCCATTGTTGACGGATAGAAGCCAACAGCAGCACGAGAAGCAGCATCACCGCCGCCAGAATCAACGCAATGGGCAGCAACGGATAGCTAGGATCGGCGGCGCCCATGTTTCCACCGGTGCACCGCCAAGGGTGGTGGGCGGAGGCAAGCTATAGCTCCCTGCCTCTATGTTGATATAGGGTGCAACGCGCTCAATTGCAGGATACACGGGGTGCCTTATCGCCATGAGAAGTCCCTCACCCCGATCGGGAGGAGAAGGTGATGTATGGAAGGCTGGATGTGCCCGGTGCTGCGAAAGGGCGGGGGCAAAAGAGACCTCGTGCTGCTTGATGAAGTAACGAAGGCGACAACGCATCAGCGGAGCATCGCCGTTCGGGACATGAATACACTTAGTTCGGGCGGCGCAGCACGCCCGCCTACAGCTTGCATTCAATGATATGATACATATACGGAAAGCTGAAAAGGGAGTGGCGCATGTTTGGCACATGGTGTTGTGCGGGTATCTGAGATACTCTTCGGTAAATGACACGAACTGCCATGTATTCGGCACCGATCTAACCCAACGGGCCGAACGTAAATGTTCTTAGGGTCGGATGGGCCACTAGCATTGCAAATCGCAACGTGCTACGTGGGGTATTGCGATAACCCGAATATGTGCCCGAGGTCGAGCTCCTGCGTCTCTGCCGAAGTGATCTTAGTGCGGTTGACCGGCTCCCGCGGTGTGTGGCACCACTCGCGCAGACGGCCTTGCACCATAGTTTCGAGATCTCCAAGCGAGTTACATTCAGCCAGTGACGCGGAGAAGGCACGGTACCAGGGCCTTCGGTCGCTGCAGGAGGCCGTCAGCGCTGTGTGCGTAAGACCCCAAAGGCATCGGCCATACCATTGAAAAGAGACAAAGTTCTTAATATGCGCGCGCATGGGCTTCAGGCTTGCAATTCCCGGATACCTGCGGCATAACGCAAGGTATTCCAGCGATACGTCCACCGGATCCGCTAGGACACCCTCGAATAGGCTGACACGGTGTGAGCTATGAACGTATATGAACCTTCGCGTCATGTAAGACGAGACGCACCATGGATTTCCGAGTAACGTCTCCCCCACCATAATCCCCGCTGCGCCGGTATATTCTCTATTGGCGGCAACATCCTCAGGCGTGAGCACATTGCCATTACTGATGACGGGTACGTCGAGCTCTTGTGCGAGTACCCGCACAACTTCCAGTTGCGCTGGACCCTGTCGTCGCCGACGCGCCGACACATGGCGTGCATGCAAAGCGACCACCGAAGCGCCCGCTTTCACGAGGCGCTGCGCGAGGGTGACGGTGCTGCTCGCCGGCGTACATAGCCGCAGTTTGACGAGGACAGGAATACTGAGGCCGTCAGCTAGCGTGCTAACTAAAGATAGTCAGTCGAGATAAGAAACTCAATAGAGATGGGCTGAACAACCATACCGATCTTCTCGAGCAAAGGCCAGTCCTTCTGACCGAGTAGATAGGCGCCGTAGTGGCCTTCTCGCGCATGTTCTTGCGGACACCCCAAATTCAGATCTGCGCAACTTCCGGATTTTGAGTCAGTGCCCAGTGTAGCGTGTCAGGCGGAGTCGTAGTGACGTACCTATACCGTCGCAGAGGTCGGCTATGGCGAGGGCTCCTCGTAGAATAGTATCGGGGTCATTACCACAGAGCTGTACAACTACAGGTCGAGGAGACTGTGAGAGGTCTTGGCGGTGGAAGGCGAGGTACTCCGGATCTGCTATGAGTCGAGTAGGATACAACATCTGTGTGTAGGCGAGGGTGGCGCCGTGTGCGAGCACCAGTGCACGGAATGGTAAATCCGACTGGTCGACCATCGGCGCCGCGATGTTTGTCAGATCAAAAGGCAAAGTTTTTGAACCAGCCATGTAGTGCGTTTCGAAAGCCTCTCAGAATACAATGTGGTATGAGTTGCAGCGTTATAGTGTTCCGGGTGCACGAGGCCTTTCAATGTCGTCGACGTCAAGGAGTGAGTTTAGACGCCGGCCGGTGGACCTCCGTGCGTAGCACGAGGCACCGGATCAACGGGACTGTTGTGTGAGGTACGCCTTCGGTTCCGACGAGATAAACCCTACCGGACGCGTCGCGCATCCTGAGTGACTTGTCTTCGACCTCCACTTGCTCCGTTTTCCATCTCCTGACTGGGCAAAGGGTTGAAGTAGGGGTGCGGTGAACTTGGCTACATCACTTAACAGGCCCTATATAAAAAGCGGCTGCGCTAGCCTGCGTATTTGAGCCATGGCCCCTATCGAGTTGCCGGTCTCTATCGCGCTCGCGTCGCTCGTACCCGTCAGCCTGGTCGCGTTTTACTTCGTGAAACCGACCAGCGCTGTCGGGGAAATAAAACTGCCCGAGACTGCCGACCACCTCGAGCACGACCCGTTCAATGTCACCACTCCAGAGGACGTTGAAGACGGCCAACCTATCAATGAAGCCGCGTTCTGGGCAAGGGTGGGTCACCATTTGTAACGCGAGGAACTGGTCCTGAATACTGACGTCGGCTTTCGCGGAACAGATACGCGTTCGGCAATTTGTCTTGACTCTGGTCCTCGCCGCTATCGTCGGCCTTCAAACTGCTTCACTTGCTCTCTCGGCCGGGCTTGCACTTCGCAGTGCAATCATCATCTACGCACTACACACCTTCCTGGCGTTGTATTCCCTAGCGCTATCACTCGTCTCCATACGCCAAAATGAACAACGCGCGCATACAGTTGTCACAGCGCATCTCGCCATGGTCAACTCTATCGCCTTCCTTGCGCTATTCGTGGTAGCGATTCTTCCCGACACGACGCTTCACGCTCAAATCTACTCGTTATATATGCAAGAGTCCCCACCGCGAGTTCTGGACATTCTGCGGACAGTAGACGTCGTGCTCTACCTCGTCGCAGCTGTATTGACCATGACCATGCCATTGGGCCCGGAGTTACACTACCCCGTCGAACGCATCTATTCTGAGAAGACTGTCGCGTCCATCACCAATCAAGATCATAACAATGTCAGCGGCTCTACAGGCATGTCCAACTTTTCAGTCGTCAACATGTTCTTGTACTAATACGGACTCGCAGGCGCGTCCATCTGGGATTTGCTATTCTTCTCATACACAACCAAAGTCGTATACCTCGGCAATACGGCAGAGTCGCTCGACATCGGCGATCTCCCCGTCGTACCCGGCAACATGCGCGCAACCGAGATCTTCCTGAAGATGCGCGCCACGCTTCGCACGGTCAAGCTCGACCGCTTCCTGTTCTGGAAGTTCCAGGCGGGCGACGGCATCGAGCTCATCTACCAACTCCTCGTTCGCAATAAGGTCGCACTCACTGTGCAGATGTTCCTCGCGAGTCTCGGCGCTCTGTTGTACTATGCGCCGCCGTTCTTCCTCAACCAGCTTGTGCGCTACCTGGAGCAGGACCCTGAGCGGACTGATCGCCGTTGGGGTGTTCTGTTCGCTGTTGGTCTATTCGCTTCTACGACTACAGTTCACCTTGGTACGTGCTGCGTTCCGACTTGTGTGCACACTTGCTGAAGTCATGAACAGTGACTGGTCAGCTGTGGAGTGTGTCCACAACCATCCTTCAAGTTCGCTTCAAGGTCCAGCTGAACTCGAGCTTGTTCGCGAAGACACTTGTTCGGAAGGACGTCGCCTCGGGAGCAGCCGCCAAGGACGACGACGCGAAGTCCAACAAGTCGGGAGACACCGAGGAGGATGAGGAAGCGGTATCGACTAAAGCGCAAGTCATGACACTCTTCACGACGGACGTCGACCGCGTCAGCGAGTTCGCGTGGCATCTCTTCACCCTCGTCGACGCGCCGCTCGAGATCATCATCGGCGCCATCTTTCTGTACAAACTGCTAGGCATCTCGGCCTTCATCGGGTTGGCCGTCAGTTGCTTGTTCCTCCCGCTCAACCACTTCGCGGGCAAGGTCGTCGTCGGCGCGCAGGATAACCTCATGAAGGCTCGTGACGAGCGCGTGGCTCTTATGAACGAGATCCTCGGCGCTATCCGCATGCTGAAGTTCATGGCGTGGGAACGCAGCTTTGAGAAGCGCGTGCTCGCTATTCGCGAGAAGGAGCTCAAGTACCAGAAGTTGAACTACACTATCGAGACGCTTTGGAATGCCATTTGGGCAGGCTCGCCGATTCTCGTCACGCTTGCGGCTTTCTTCCATTTCGCTGTCATTCGCGGCGAGGTGCTCACTGCCTCCACGGCTTTCACTTCGGTAAGCATATGCGCTACACGATGCGGAGAGTTATTGCTCACCGATATCCCAGATTGCAGTGTTTGACGAGATGAAGTTCGCTCTCAACGCGCTCCCCGAGACCCTCATCAACATGCTCCAGTCCCTCGTATCGCTCCGTCGTATCGAGAAGTACCTCCACGGTCGCGAAGTAGCGCCCATCCCATCGCTCGGTGCCAACACGAACCCCATCGCCTTTCAAGGAGCCACAGTTACTTGGCCCCAGGACCGCTCGCGCGAGACGGCCACCTCGACCCCGAACCTCAGCGCTGCGAGCACCCCCAGCCGCGGGAAGTTCGTACTGGTTGACCTCAATCTTAACTTCCCGCGCGGGGAGCTCAGCTTGGTATGCGGTAAACTCGGTAGCGGGAAGACGCTTCTATTGCTCTCGTTGCTCGGCGAGGCGGATCACCTCACCGGCCAGATCCTCTGCCCGCGCTCTCCTCCGGATGCTATAGCGAACCTTTCCCGCAGCGCGCCCGCGCCTGAGGACTGGGTCGTCGAGGGAGTATGCGCGTATGTCCCGCAAGCGGCCTGGCTCCGCAACGCCTCGATTAAGGAGAATATCCTCTTCAACATGCCCTACGACGAGACGCGCTACCAAAAGACGCTCGAAGCCTGCGCGCTCATCAACGACCTCAAGATTCTCGAAGACGGTGACGAGTCGGAGATCGGCGAGCGCGGCGTCAACTTGTCCGGCGGTCAGAAGGCCCGCGTGTCCCTCGCGCGCGCTGTATACTCGCGCGCGTCAATCTTGTTGCTCGACGATGTTCTCTCGGCCGTCGATGCGCATACCGCACACCACCTTTTCAACGAGTGTCTCAAGGGCGAACTCATGAAGGGCCGCACGATTGTTCTCGTATCGCACCACGTCCAGCTGTGCGCGCCCGGCGCGAAGTACGTCGTGGCGCTCGAGAACGGACGCGTCTTGTACCAGGGACCCAGCGCAGAGTTCCAGAAGGGGGCGGTCATCCGTTCGCTTGTTCAGTCGGAGCACTCGGCTACGAAGGAGGAAGAGAAGGCGGAGGAGGAGAGGGAGAAGGCGCAAGCGGAGGAGCCTACGATCGAGGAGGAGCTCGCTCAGGTCGATGCTGGGAGCAACTCGAGCACTAGTGCCACTAGCGCCGAGCCTTCGGATGTCAGCTCGACGGCTGTGACTGCCACAACCGCAGATAGCAAGGGCGCGGCTGAGACGAAGAAGAGCCCGAGGAAGGTCGTCGAGGACGAGGCGCGCGCAGTTGGTCGTGTCAACCGCGAAGTCTGGAAGGCGTACTTCACTGCGTGCGGGAGCTGGCCGTACTGGACTATCTTCGGTTTCATCATGGTTCTTGCTACACTCAGCCCTGTTGCCGAACGTGGATGGCTTACGTGGTGGGCGCGCGCGAACGAGAGCGGGTCAACGCATAGCCCGTCGTTCTATGTTGGGTTGTACGCTGTTATCTCGTTCGCGGGTATCTTCATTGGGACTCTGCGTTGGTTCGCACTCTGTACGTTTCACTGACTTCATCCTTCGACATCGGCGACTGACATGTCTCCCTAGATGATGGCTCCATCCGCGCAAGTACAGTCCTCTACAAGAAGCTCCTCGAGACGGTCCTGTTCGCGAACATCCGCTTCCACGATACGGTCTCGCGTGGACGCTTGCTTAACCGTTTCGGCAAGGACTTCGAGGGCATCGACAGCAGTCTCGCGGATAACTTCGGTCGCAGTGTCATCTACTGCCTTAGCGTCATCACCACGCTTGTCACCATCAGCGTGGTCGGCGGGTTGCCCTTCCTCTTGACTGCTTTGCTCATCGGCGTGCTCTACTACAACTGTAAGGCCCACATGCCTCTTCGAAGCAGGCTCTTGCTGATGGCATCTTCAGCGGCGCAGGTGTACGGACAGACGAGTCGTGACATGCGTCGTCTTGACTCCGCTACGCGTTCACCGCTTTACTCGATATACGGCGAGACCATCGCCGGTGTCGCCATCATCCGTGCCTTCGGTGCATCGTCCAAGTTCTTGCGCGACATGCTTCGCTGCGTCGACACCAACACGAACCCGTACTACTGGATGTGGGGTGGTACGTATCATTCAGACCTCGCGCCGACCTAATGCTTACTCTTGTGCCATAGTCAACCGCTGGCTCAGCGTCCGCTTCAACGTTCTATCCGCCGTGATTGTCGGCATGACTGGGCTTGTCTCGGTACTCTCCGTGCGGATCGACGCAGCGCTCGCGGGCTTCATGCTAGCCTTCGCATCCAACATCACAAACGACATCCTATTCCTTGTCCGTCGCTTCGTCGGTCTCGAGCAGTCCATGGTCGCTCTGGAGCGTGTGAAGGAGTTCAGCGACCTCGCAAGGGAGCCGCCGGAGTTTATCGAGCCGCGTCCGCCCGCGTCATGGCCCCAGAAGGGCGAGATCGAGGTCAAGAATCTGGTCATACGTTACGCACCGGATCTGCCGAACGTGTTGCATCAGCTTAACTTCAAGATCTTGCCTGGAGAGAAGGTCGGAATCTTGGGCAGGACGGGAAGCGGGAAGAGTACGCTTGCTCTCAGCTTCTTCAGGTTCGTGGAGGCGACCGAGGGTGCGATTAAAGTGGACGGGATCGACATCGCGAGTGTTGGGTTGACGGACCTGAGGAGCAAGTTGACTATCATCCCTCGTGCGTTCTATCATGCCATGCTCCGCGATAGCTGTTACTGATGAAGCCGCGCAGAGGATCCGACTATTCTGAGTGGTACGCTGCGCTCGACCCTCGACGTGTTCGACGAGTACGAGGACGCGGACATCTATGAGGCGCTGCGCCGCGTGCACCTTATCCCCGCTAACACCGACGCGGCGGATGACGACGAGTTGAACGCGAACGTCTTCCGGAACCTCGACTCGCCTGTATCCGAGGGCGGCGAGAACTTCTCCACTGGGTAAGCTTGATGCACTCTCGCTCGCGCCCAGCAACAAGACACTGACCCTCTTTCACAGCGAGAAGCAGCTGTTGTGCATGGCTCGCGCTATTCTCAAGCGCTCAAGAGTCCTCGTCATGGACGAAGCCACAGCTTCCGTCGACTATGCCACCGACGAGCTTATCGGCAAGACGATCCGCCATGAATTCGCGGACAGCACAATCTTGACCATCGCACATCGTCTGCGGACGGTCATCGACTACAACCGCGTCATGCTGCTCGACCAGGGTCGTATCGTTGAGCTCGATACGCCCGCGAACCTGTTGAATAACAGTGACTCGCTGTTCTATAGTTTGTGTAAGGCGACCGGCAAGACGGAGTTTGCGGTGTTGAGGAAGATGGCGGGTGTTGCTTAGAATCATTGTGGATGTTATTACATAGGCGTCGTAGATCTACTCTCAAGTGGAGGTGTTCTTTTGGTTTATATCATCTTTGCATTAGAAGGCCTGTATGCGTCGTCGGTGACTGCAGCCTCTGCACTCCCGCGAGGAAGCATATCGGAAACTGCAAAGTACTTGCGCCACGACGCGACGCACGAGAAAGCGGGACCAGCGTGGACCCACACCTGCTTTAGCGGCGACGGTAAAGTCTAACCGCGGTTCAGCTTCACGCTTCCACGACACCCCTCACGTACCCTCCGCGGCGCAGCGCGCGCACCCAACTAGACTTACAAGACTTCGTGCTTATACCTGTACAAACTTTGTCTATTCCGTCCGGACCGGGTATCCGTAGCGCTACGCCACGCCACCATGCGCTGTCTATCAACTCTGCTCGCCTGTCTGGCTTTCCTTCTGACCGCCTTACCAACAACATACGCAATAAAATTCAACCTCCCCGCTGCCAAATACCCCGCCGCAAAATGTATCTGGAATGCTGCACATCCCGGTGCACTGGTTATCGTGACGGCCAACGCGGGACCGGGAGAGGGCATGCGCGTGGACGTGGAGATCATCGATTCGAGTCCGCAGAAGAACGTCTATTTGAGTAAGAGGGATATCCGAGGGGAGACGAGATTGGCGGTTACGGCGCACACGGAGGGAGAGGTTGGAGTGTGTTTCAAGAATACCTTTGATGGACGTGCGTGGCAGCTTGATCTATAGTGCATTCCTCGTGTTCAATATTGAATATATGTTTTAGGACCTGCGGAGAAGAAGAGGGAACCCATGCGGGTCATTGACCTCGATGTAGACGTTGGCGCGGACGCCGTGGACTACAAGTGCGTACTTCGTTGATCGCGGCTGTCACACGAGAATTAACGATGCACTTCAGCGCCATTGCGAATCAGGAATCACTCTCGGGTCTCGAAACGGAAATGAGGAAACTCGAAGGAGTGGTGAAGGAGATCGTAGATGAGATGAACTACCTTAAGAAGCGCGAAGAGCGCTTCTCCAGCACAAACGGTGCGTTTCATATCTATCCTCTTCGGGTGTGCATCCCTGCTGAGCGACATTCTTCCTTCTTTCAGAGTCGACACAGGCACGGGTGGCAAACTTTGCATGGTTCACCATTTTCGCTCTCGTTGCTCTCGGTGTATGGCAAATATTCCACTTGCGCGCATTCTTCAAGCGCAAGTACCTCATTGACTGAGGGATCATATGTATCCTACGGCACTCACGCAGAGACTCTACATTCGATATTGACTGCGTGCTATATCATAATGGATTGGGATCTACTTGGAGATCAGGATATTTACAGCTCGTCGTGTGAGCCTTCAGTAGACCCGACATGCGTCGCGTCAATGTTTGCGAGCGTGACTTGCGCCCTTTTGATTTCGCCCGCTGCCTGCAGACGCGTCAGATGCCCATTTCGCATAAAAACTTGGAGCGTGGCATTCTCACCTTCTCAGCGATAGCGTACACCGTGGCCAAGGGTGCGACAGAGAACGATAGCGGGATGACGCTCGCGTCAACGACGCGGAGGTTCGCTGTATGGTGCACCAGAAAGTCGGGCGCAACGACACCTACAGCTGTGTTTCAACACGATCCTCGTCTACGACAACAGGTTCACTCGCCGCCTAGACGTTTAGGTCCCAACGCTGCTGTCCCGAGAGGATGCAAAGTCGACTAACATTCAAAATCAGTTGCTACATTTCCTCGAGGAACTAAAGATCACATACGACGGCGCTCTTCCTCGAGTACTCTTTCCATTCCTCGAACGTGCTCACCTCTTCTTCGTTTGGGACGTTCGCACTTTCTACGAGCGATGCCATGGGCTCCGTTTGCATCCACTTGCGTAACCAGCCCATTGTAAGTGCGTGCATGGCCACGTCTGAGTGGACGACGATGAGCAGGAGGGATAGTGAAAGAGGGGTGTGAAGATACCGAAGTCGTGCGCGAAGTACGCCGGGTCAATCAGAGGTGACGCGAACGGGTCAGTCGAGTTTATATGCTGTTCACAGGATGAGCCGTCGTCGACTGCGTGGAGCGTGTGGCAAAGACATACCACCGATCCTCGTGCAAACGGGTACAAGTTAAACACGATGGAAGTCGAGTACGATGCATTCGCCTCCGGCGTCTTCAACACGCCTCCCGCAGCGAGAAGCAGCAGCTCTGCCCATCCGACCTTCTTCCCCTCAAAAAACTGTCGCTGTAGCTTGTATTGAGCTTGTTTGAATGCGCTGAGCGACGGATCCATGAGCGAGGGGAGGAGGGTCTCGAGAAGTGTGATGTTCTCCGCCGACAAGAGTGTTTGAAGGGGCACAGACGCAGTTGCTGGGGTGTCGTAGGTGAGGAGGCCAGTCTGCTTAGTCGCGCTAGGTATCATGTCAGTAAACAGGTCCCAACGACAGATGGTTGGACAGTACAATTGCTCCATCTGCTCTACAGCGAAAGCACTGTCGAAGCGCATGCGGTCTATCCGTATCATGAGTTGACTATCCTTCACCTCTCTCAGATGCGTCGCTCACCAAGCGTAGTCAATCCCTCTTTCATCTTGACATCCATTAAAGTGAACGTCTGGTCTTGGAAGTTCTCTCCCACACCGGGAAGATCGACGACGGACTCGATACCTACAGACTCAAGGCGAGCTTTCCCGCCCACACCCGAGAGCTCGAGAAGATGCGGCGTTCGAAGTGCCCCTGTAGCCACGATGACCTCCCGAGTGGCGCGAACAGTATAGCTTGTCCCGCTATGAATGAAATCGACCGCGCTCGCTCGTACCGGGCCATCTGAGCTAGTACGAGTAGCGAAGACGATCTTCGTGGCTTGTGCGTGCGTGAGAATAGCGAGGTTCGTCCGGTCGCTGTTCGGCATCAAGTACGCTGAGAGCGCCGACGAACGCATCCCCGTTTGAGGGTCGACGGCACGCGCGGGCGTGGAGAAGCCAGAGGGATCGCCTGTATTCGGGTTCGGGTTCGTCTTCACGCCAAGGTTGCGAGCAGCTTCAACAGCCGGCGCAATCGTGTCGGGGTGAAAGTTGTTGTAGCTCAACTGCACGGGCCCGTCCTTCCCAAAGACTTGCGCTAGTCCTGACAGGTCGTCTACAGCACCGGGTACAGCGTCCAGAGGTGGGCCGGTCCAGTTCTCCGACTTCTTGAAGTATGGCTGGAGAGCGTCAAAGGACCACGAGGGCCCGTTACCGAGCGAAGTTCCCCAGGCGTCGTACTCTTCGCGTGAGGCGCGTTGCCAGAGAAGATCGCAGATCATGCTCGAGCCGCCGAGGAGACGTCCACTGTCATCGTGTGAATCTCATCAGGAAGAATGTGGACTGGGATCTAGAGGGTTCTCACATTGGCTGATCGACAATCCTGCCGCCCAACCCTTCCTGCGGTACAGTCTTCAAGTTCCAATCCAATTGCGCATCGCCAAAGGCCGAGCCGTATTGTGCTGCTATGTCCAACCTCGGATCGGTCCCAGGAGGGACAAATGCCCCAGCTTCGAGTACGGCGACGGTAACGCTCGGGTCTTCGGAAAGGCGGGTCGCTACGACTAGACCGGCTGTGCCGCCCCCGACGACGACATAGTCGTAGGATTTGGCGACGAAGTCGGTCGGCTCGGTTTTGATGACTAGTCGAGATGTCAGATTGATTCTCAGTGAGATCATGAATGTGGGGAGGTACCGGTGGGGAGAATGGGGACATCGTCCGGCGCCACTTCTGAGCTAGCAGGGAGGGCGAAGCCGAGGGCCCACGCAGCTGCGGTTCCGACTCGAAGAGCTCGATGAAGGCGAGACGGCATAAAGGCGATGTTCCGACGCACAGAGCCTCACGCACGTATATACATACTCAACGTATCTGGCTTCGTGTCCTTGCAACGCGAATCTACGGGACCGAACATTTCTACCGATTAACGGACTTTGCAAGGGCTGAAAGAGCAGACGGGGACACTAGCCCGGCTCGCGTGCGAGTATGGGAGCGAGAGACTATCGCGTTGTGTTGGGGCTACGAGTTGATGTTGCTGCTCTCCCGGCTACGATGCTACTGGAAGGTTTATCATGGTCCGCCTCTGCGGTACGGTGGCGAGAGGCAGCCAAGCTTGGACCACAACAGCCGGATGATGGCTTCCGGTGATTGCCGGGGCCGCGTTTATGAGCCGTCGCCTGCCCTCGCGTCTGGAGGCGAGCTTCTCCCGAGCGACCATGTCCATGTCCAGATGTCAACGTTCTGCAATCACCATGTCGTACACGGCTTTCACGATCCCAACCCTCATACTGTGTGATGCCGATATAGACAACTGATGGCCCGACACTGAAGCGAGACTGACGCATTTAACGGGCCCGATGGAAGATGCTCGCTCCTCATCCGCCATATTACTTGCCACATATCATATTCCGATCCTCCTCAAGGAAAGGTATATCTGTGAAGGGTTACATGGCTCACGACCCGCTGCGGATCCCGTCCCCTTGGGACTATGCTAATATCTCGGTCAGCTTTACTTCTGGCATCCTTACCTTGGGCATCATCGACCAGCACAACGAGCGCGCCTCCACCCCGGACGACAGTCTCAGTCGAAGAATTCCTACAATTAGAGTACGATGTACTCATTGTCGGTGGCGGGACTGCTGGTGTTGTTCTGGCATCGCGCCTGTCCGCGCCTCCGACGGGTAACTCGACGCGTCCTGCGCTGAGAGTCGGTGTCATCGAAGCAGGTCGTCATCGTCCGGGAGACCCATTAATAGATGTACCCACCGCCGGAAACCTGCTTGGGAATGCTGAGGTAGGCACATTGCTGGGCAATCCGGAGTACGATTGGGGGTTCCGGAGTGTGCCTCAAGAGAGCTTGGATGGCGGCGTTGTTCAATACCCTCGGTGAGCTTCTTTCTCGTTTCATCTGTCGACTTCATTGGGGACTGACGTTGCAAAGTGGAAAGGTGTTAGGAGGCTCAACAGCGATCCATAGTATGGTCTGGCAGCGTGCAAATCGAGCAGATTATGATGCCTGGGCGTATACCTTTGAGAATGGCGACGAGTGGTCCTTTGACGCTTTACGTCCGTATATGGAGCGCAGCGAGGCATACCTTCATTCGGAGTTACCGACACCTCCCCTCACTATGCCACATTCCAGCCTCGCTACCCAGCACAGCTTAGAGAGCCAGCTATCCACCGTGCACGGGCAAGAGGGGCCCGTTCAGATATCCTACAACTCGTATCAGACGGCACTGGAACAACCCGCAGCCCTTTCCCTCCTGCGCACGCTTTCAAACATCACAGGGTCTACAGTCACCGCCAATCATAATCCCGACGCCGGCGACAGTGTGTCGGTTCCCGCGTTCGGTACCTCACGCTCGGTATCGCCCCAAACTGGCCTACGGTCTTATGCCGCGAGCGCATACCTCGATGATGCTGTCGGTGTCTGGGAGCGCCCGAACCTGGCCATCTTGACGGGCGCCACGGCATCCCGCATCGTTCTAAATGGGACAACTGCTCGTGGCGTCGAGTTCATAATCGGCAATAATACACATGTAGTGCATCTGGCGAATGGCGGGGAAGTGATTCTTTCGGCAGGTGTGAAAGATGATACACCTTCTCCGGTCATTGGTCTGACAGATGTCACAGGAGCACTGCAAACCCCTCAACTCCTCGAGCTATCAGGCGTCGGGAACCGTACTCTGCTTGAAGAGCTAGGAATCGAAGTTGTAGTCGATCTGCCCGAAGTCGGGGAGAATCTACAAGACCATCCGGTGACGCTGTCCGACTTCTCAATCAAGCCAGGTGTCGAGACCCTGGGTAAGCGCTTTCGCGGGAGGTGTTAGATGCGTCGCTGAACTCACGGCTGTGCCTACTAGATTGGCTTGCGCTGAATGCCTCACATGCAAGCCTGCATAAGCAGCTCTTGTGCGTACACATCCGGGTTTTCTTTTACCATAGCTGCTGAGGGCTTTGCAGTCAGGAGTCAAGGACGGGTGCACTCACGTATACAGCACCTTTGCTTGCCCCAATACCACTTCAACTTCTCATGCCACCCGAAGAGGTGACTGCGATGCGTCGGGAGCTCGACACATCACTGGCTAATTTAGCTGATAAAGAGCGTACCACTCCCATGCAGCGTGTACAACATGGCCTGTTGCGAAAGCTACTCGATGCTGGAGATGTGGGATGGATCGAAATGGTCTTAGTCCCAAGCGGAGGCATTGTCAGTCCGCCGACGCTGAGTGCAGGCGGCGCGACGGTGGTAGCCATTCAGCTGGTACGTAGACTCCCTGAACAGGACGAGTCTATAAAGTCACTGACGATCTTTGCAGTACCCGTTCAGCAGAGGCTCAGTGGTACGCTCAATGCTATCTACGAGTCTGACATTCCTGATGATCGTGAACCCAGCATATCAACAGTACAGATCCTCTCGGGCCGCCTCTGGTTGACCCAAACTTCATTCCCGAAGAGATTCCTTGGGATGCCCAAGTACTTATCGCCGGCTCGAAGCTAGTCAGGAGATGGTTCTCCACCCCGCCGATCGCAGATCTCGTCGATGAGGCCCTCTATCCGCCGACGAACCTCAGCGTTGATGACAATGAGGCGGATTGGGACAGATACATGCGCAAAGCGCTCAGGGTGAGTAGCACCACACATACTCTTCCTATATGTTTTGAGCATATGCAGACAACGAATCATCCAATGGGCACCACGGCAATGGCACCTCGCAAGATGGGCGGTCAGTGCTTTTTGAATCATCTCTAAGCGACTTATCCCGATGACGCATCTAAATGCCATACAGGCGTCGTGGATCCCCGCCTCAAGGTGTACGGACTGTCGAACGTTCGCGTCGTAGATGCTGGAATTATCCCAATAACGGCCGGCGTGGCGATACAGCCTACAGTATATGCTTTGGCAGAAAAGGTTGGCCCATCCCATCACGACTACTCCAACCTTCGCTGACGGGTACAGGCTTCAGATATCATCAGAGCAGAATGGGGTTTGGACAACGACGTCTGCACCCTTTCAAGCCAGGTCAATTCACTCCATCAGTTCAGAAAGTGAAATGATATATCCATATTACATGCAATGCAAATGGTCCGCTGTAAGGTGACAATAGACGATATCCAGTCGTCGCATTTGGGGGAAAGATGCAGAATCAAAGTCATATACGAATGAACATCATGGACATCAACATGCGGGGCTCAAACAGAAAGGAAAAGGTGGTTGTTGGTCGTGTGAACGTTGATCGAACCAGGCTGGCCCTTCTCATGCTCGGATGGCAGCCAGCTCGCAAACCCTCTCACGAAGCCGCGGATCTGCGTGTTGACCTCGACATGGCGGGATCTGCGACGCCCCGCGGGGTCCTCGACGTCCGTGCGGCGTTCGATACTAGGCGTGAAGTGCGTGGTCGAAGCAGCGAACGTGCCCTCGTAAGCGCTGTCGAGACGAACCCACGCAGGGGAGTTGGTAGTGCTCGCTGTCGCCTCAAGGACTGCATCCGCAGGAGACGTCAGGTAGTTCACGCGCAAATGGCCATTCGTAGTGGCAGTAGTCACTTTGAAGCGTGCAGCTGAGCTCGACGCAGGAGACTGGAGAAGAGAGAAGTTGGCCGCGAGAAGACTGTAGTTGCCTCAGGAAAGTATCACATGCAAACACAAGAACGACGTACGCGTTGGTAGTGTGTAGGATCAGGTCGTTCGCGTTATCGTGATTGAAAGCTGTCACATCGACCTTGATGGGTGAGTTGGTGGTCGCCAGCTTCAGCGAGTCCGATGTGTTGAATGCGCCGATGATTGCAGCGTTCGTCGTGTGTACATTGATATCGTGTGCGCGGATATCCTGAGAGATAGTCTCAGATAATCGAGCCTGAAGCGACGAAGGGTAGGCAGAACAGACCTTGACATGAATTTGTTGGTTGGTCGAAGCAAGGGATATTCTTCCAAACTCAAAGCCCTCGGTGAGATCGTTCACCGTTTGGCTGTAGAGTGGCATAGCAGTGAAGAACGACGGCACTTGGCGTATAAGCCTGCCGTGAGCCGGGAGTCGAATGACCATGTGGAGATACACTGTCTCCCTCCTGTCGTGACGATGCCTCTCACGAGGGCTCTATCAAAAAGGTCAACTTCGATACAAAACGCGATGTAGGAATAGGAAACGTACGAAGATCCCCACGCCATCGCGCCCATCCCTATCGTAGTGGAAGCGACAGACCGTGACGCGGTCCAAAGCCGGCCGGTTATGGTATTCTGCAACAACATCCACCGAGACTTCGTCGCCATCACCGGCAACAACATCGACGTGACCATACGTCCAAGCACCGCGAGCTACGAATGCCAGAGCATCCGAGTCGATAGGAAGCTTGAAAGACGTCTTCGCGGAGAAATGATGATACTGTTCGATGTTGGGCAAGACGGTATCGACGTCGTCCCACTGATCGCCGTTTATACAGTCAAAGTCTCCCTCAGGATCACCTGGCCATATATCGAAGGTAGAGGCGGGCTCCCCGGACATGATCTCCTAAGTGAGAGCGTGAGCAACATACTCAGGCAAGTAAGAGTGAGAACGAACCGCCCGATGGTGATGAACGAGACTGTGAGCGAAGCGATAGACACCCTTCCAGCTAGACACGAGAATCACGGTTGCAAGGACAAGAACGAAGCACCAGCGATGACGCCTAACACGTTGACGGCGACGCTCGTGCTCAAGATGAGAGTCGATCACGTATACGTTCTGGTCGAGAGGAGAGGAGAAGTAGGTCTGTTGAGACCCTTGACCCTTGTCTCCCAGAAGGGGCGTAGAACTTGAGAGTTTGCTAGTCATGACCGCAAAGATGAGCTTTTGAGGTGCGGAATCGTCGAGCGGCTATCTGGCCTTATATCGTAGTGCGGACGAGGTCCGCGACTGACGCTGAGGAGCCTGAACTGCGCTACTTGAAGAAGAGGCAGGCATGTTGAGACTGCGGGTATGGTGTCTTGTAGAGCACAGTCATGGCGTTCATGCGGAACTCAACCACGTAGACGAGGGCCGCAAGTTTCGCGCTGCGCGCGGAGCAACGCCAAAAGAACTGAATAGTGACTCGACGGCCAGCAAACACCTTGAGAGCTGCGCCGCCGAGCCTGTCTTCAGCTAGGCGCTAAGTCATTTACAGAGTGCGCCTGTCGAAGCCACCTGCGGCGACGACTGCGGGAGCTGAGCATGGCCAGGTCGGCGAGTGGACAAGACACCGGTTCGGGCCTTCGGTCCGCCTATCTTTCGCACGCGCGCCACCATGCGCTCGGCCGCGACGACGCCGGCGAGTTGCTATCGACCACGACGACCACGTTCATGGTGATGGAACATATAATCTCTACGAGTGAACGAAGAAATCATGACGCCGTGACTTGCGCTGTAGCTGGATATACTATATAGTATATCGGTGTCGCTATCACTCGGCTCAACGTTGACGACATGAGCGGCCTGGCGGGCCCCGGCGCGGGTTTTAATGTCTTCTGACCTCCTCGACGCACCCTCTTGGTTATGAGAAAGCAGACATGCTCGGTCGATATGAGGACCCATCTCACTCTGACTTTGACAGACCTTAGGCTTCAAGATGGCCACGATTGCGAGAATTGAAGTACGTTTATCCAGCGATTACCTGTTCGCAACATGTATGCTGAGTCTGCATAGATCTTCCGCATTCCCCCGCGATGGCTTTTCGTGCGCGTTGAGACCAGCGACGGTATTGTTGGCTGGGGAGAAGCTACGCTTGAAGGGCACACCGAAGCCGTAGAAGGCGCATTCAATGACCTGCGAGAGCGTTTTGTCGGTTGGGATGCCGATGCCATTGAGGAGATCTGGCAACACGCGTACAGAGCGCGATTCTACAGAGGTGGCCCTGTCCTCATGGTGAGTCTAAGGTATCATTGCTTCCAATAGTCGAGGTTCTGACGACCTTCATCTATCGCAGTCTGCGTTGTCGGGGTTAGACATAGGTTCAAGTTGATATCTTGCGATCTGTGGGACTGTGACTGAGCTTCTTCGACAGCCTTGTGGGACATCAAAGGCAAAAAGTTGGGCGTTCCAATATGGCAACTTCTCGGAGGCAAGGTTCGCGATCGTGTTAGGGTCTACGGATGGATTGGAGGAGACAAGCCAGACCATGTCGTTGAAGCCGCTCGGAACCGAAAAGAGCAAGGTTTCACTGCGGTGAAGATGAACGGCACCGGTTCGTTTCCAGACTCGCCGTATCGACTTCGGTAGCTGATAGCCAATGGCGATGCAGAATCTGTGTCCTGGATTGATTCTCCCACTGTGCTCGAAGACACAGTCCAGCGTGTACAGGCCGTTCGCTCGCTTGGGCTTGACGTCGGCGTCGACTTCCACGGCCGACTTCACAAGGGTATGGCGAGGCAACTCGCGAAGCTGCTCGAGCCCTGTAAACCCTTGTTCATAGAAGGCATGTAGATCCTTTTTCCTATCTTTAGTCCCGTCTTACACGTCTTACGGTCGTTTAGAGCCTCTTTTGCCCACACAGCCGGAGGAGATTGCAGACCTGGCACAACTGGTATCCACTCCGATCGCTCTGGGCGAAAGATTGTACTCGCGGGCGGACTTCCGTCCCTACTTGGAGCGTCGTGCCATTGACATTGCTCAACCCGATGTGCGTGGAGCTTGAAGGAGACTATTGTGTTCGTACTGATATCTTCGGTTAGGTCTCTCACTGTGGAGGTATCAGCGAGTTAAACAAGATCGCGAGCCTGACCGAGATCTACGACGTCGCGTTGGCGCCTCATTGTCCGCTGGGACCAATTGCTTTCGCCGCCTGCATGCAAGTCGGTTTACATGCCCCAAACTGTGAGTGCAGCCTAAGGTACTTTCTACGGCACTGATATCTGGACCCAGTCGTCATACAAGAAATGTCATGGCAGGCGAGTCCACGTCATGAGATCAGTTCTCGAGTCGTCTCACGCGCCTGAACTGTAGATCCATTACAATCAAGGAGCTGACCTCTTCACGTATCTGAGCGACTCATCTGTTTTTGCCATCAAGGCCGGCTACGTTGAAGCTTTGACTGGTGTGTTGTCCAAATGAATCCTGCGTACACACACGACGCTGAACACCTTCAAGGCCCGGGCTTGGGCATATCGATCGATGAGAACAAGGTGCGGGAGGCCGCTCTTCGACATGCGAACGAGAAGGCATGGCGCAACGCTACATTCATTGGCCCGGACGGCTCCTTGCGGGAATGGTGAAATTGGTTTCACGACGAAAAATCATTATCCGAAGGTCAGCCTGTACAGTAGTGTCCCGATGCGCCCGGCTACAGTGATACTTAGACGCCATTGTGTGAGGTTGACTGTCGGCAGCGTAAAGATGGCCCTCAGCATAGGTTAGAGCACAGCAATGTATCAGTACGCGCGATTTGGGAAGAACATGCGTGGTGGCATACCGGCTTACGCCCGGCCGAACAAGTTGGCAATGCAACAGGTGGCGTGATGATCTGTTGCCACCTTCGGTTCATCTCCATCAATTGTTCGAGGAACCTGGCGCCCACAACGGTGCGAGATCGTCTGACGAGGCGCAACACCGCCATTATACATGTCTATTTGTAGCTTCGACCAATGTGTATGACCGCTCGCCCAATCCGCTTTCTCGCTCGCTCGACTGGCTGCGACCTGTTCAAGGTCTCACCGCATCCCCCGAATCACACAGATGTCAGAGAACGCCCAACACTATCCGGCTATTATTGGTTCCACCCGAGCAACCGTCGCAATGTTTCAATCTCGCTGGCCAATCCGAGCTTCAGGTCCACGAGCTAGCCTGCGAAGCGCTTGCGATGCGACGGCCGCTTATAAGGGTGCCAGCGGTATTGCCGTTGCTGCAACTTAACACTTCTCTCCGTCTTCTTCGACGCCTTCTTTCTTCTCTCTGACTACGTGCTTGCACATATAGTACTTGTCTAGATTATTGCCAAGCCTCCGCACTCTGATTCGTAGCCATGACCATCGTTCTCACGCCGTACTGGACCAACGGTCAACAAAAGCTCCGGGCTGAGCCTCTTCGTGCGTCTCGCTTCCCTTCGCTCAATGCAAGCTCAGATGCACGTAACTGACTGTCCCTCTACTCAGCTCCCGCCGCCCCTCCCGCCGGATACTACCCCGCCGCGTTCGATGAAGCAATCCATGCTCTACGGTGCCTGGCGCAACTGAGATCGAAGGACAAGGGGATTGAGAAGTACATCTACCTCACTCAGCTTAAACATGCGGACGAACGCATGTTCTATCGTTTGGTGCTAGAGCATATGGGTGTACGTACACTCAATCCTTGGTGGTTGTCCATCAACTAAATCCCTCATAGGAGATCACGCCGCTCATCTATACGCCGACGGTTGGGGATGCTTGCTTGCAGGTGTGTAGTAGCTCTATACGAGGCTCTCGCAGTCATTCTGACCATTCACCTGTCCGCAGCACTCTCAGAACTTCCGTCGCCCTGAAGGTCTAGTGAGTTCTCACGTGCACCCATCGCCTCCGGAGGGGACTAATGTCTACTGCTAGTACATCTCCATTCGCGACAAGGGAAGGATCGGTCAAGTCTTGCGTAACTGGCCTCGGATCAAGGATGCACGCATCTCTGTCGTTACAGACGGTTCACGAATTCTCGGATTAGGCGACCTGGGCGTGAACGGGATGCCCATCTCGATTGGAAAGTTGTCTCTTTACGTCGCTGGAGCCGGTATCCGCCCCGAGTCGACAGTGCCGATTTGCCTTGATCTCGGGACGAACTCGAAATACCTCGACGACCCTCTTTACCTTGGCCTCCGTCACAAGCGCGTCTCGCGTGACTTATACACTGAGTTTATGGACGAGTTCATGCACGAGATGAGCAAGACCTTCCCGAAACTCCTCGTGCAATTCGAGGTGAGCCATGCACGCGCTCTTTGAGGTCATAATAACAACTCCAACCACTTTTTCTAGGACTTCTCCACCGATAGCGCTTTCCTGTATCTGGAAAAGTACAGGAATCGCTACCCCGTTTTCAACGGTGAGCGCTGCTCCACGCTTTCACCGAGCACCGAGTCGCTGAACACTTGACCTCTAGATGACATCCAGGGGACTGGGGCCGTCGTGCTGTCCGGCTTCATCAACGCTGCGAAGCTCTCCTCCGCCGCGTCCGGCAAGCCTTTGACTGCGCACCGGATCCTTTTCCTTGGTTCTGGCTCGGCAGGTGTTGGAGTTGGCATGCAGCTGTTGAGCTTCTTCCGCATGCAAGGCCTCTCCGAAGACGAGGCGAGGAGCCGTATCTACTACGTTGACTCGCGGGGCTTGATCTTCGATGCTCGCGGTCCGATGGAGGAGCACAAGAAGTGTGAGTGGCCTTCTGACGAGCTTTGACCTAAAGAGCTCATATGATGATAGTCTTCTCGCGCAAGGACTATAACGGACCGGCCATGACCAACCTGTTGGATATCATCAACTATGTGAAGCCTACAGCCCTCATGGGCCTCTCCACGACCAAGGTACGTTTGACCTGCATACGGCGATGACGCGGTCTGATATCTCGTGCGCGTAGGGTGCTTTCACGCAAGACGTCGTCGAGTTCATGGCGGCTTTGAACCCGCGCCCCATCATCTTCCCGTTGTCCAATCCCGTACGCCTTTGCGAGCTTGACTTCCCCGACGCGGTCAAGTGGACCGAAGGGCGCGTACTCTTTGCATCCGGCTCTCCTTATGACGACGTCGAATACAACGGGAAGCGTCATGTCTGCCGACAGGGCAATAACATGTACATCTTCCCAGGTGAGTTGCACCCCTTGTGTCAGTCCGGCAGCTCTAATGACGCCGCGTCTTCTTCAAGGATTGGGACTCGGTTCTATTCTCGCTCGCGCCTCGTCGGTAACGGACGGAATGGTGGAGGCCAGCTCAATCGGCCTGGCGGATGCCTTGTCCTCCGATGAACGCAAGGCCGACTCTATCTACCCCTCCCTTGATCGCATCCGCGAGATTAGCGCCTTCATTGCTCTACGTGTCATCCGACAAGCACAGACAGATGTACGCATAGGCTCACACGATAGTTCCTGTGCATCGTGCTAACTCTACTTTACTAGCGCGTCGACCGCTCTACGGATTTGCGCAGCATGTCTGACAGCCAACTGCTCAAGTTTATCAACGGTCGGATGTGGAAGCCTTGAGAGTCTGCGCTTCCGTCACTATTTCTCGGTATATCTCTAAAGGCTGCGCGGATATCTTAGGGTTTATGGCGTCTTGGGTTCACTAATGATCTATTACCGAAAGCAATACACTAATCTGGATTTTCTCTTGTGCCCCACGGTTCCTGTGGCCACGGCTATCTCAACAGGATGCATCGCGCCTAAGCTATGCCGAAGCAGAGTGTCTCTGTATGACGGCCGTTCGGATCGCTTGAGACTCGACCCTCTTGCGTGTGCTCTAAGAGCCCGAGCCTTGACTTGACTGGTCGCATTGCGAGCCCAACCAAATTAACTTTGATATCGAGGTCAAGGTTCTTGAGCTGTGGCGAACGTAAACCCTTCCTTGCTTTCTCTATGAACTCGGAAGTGACGAGGCTGAGCAGACGTCTAGGCCCATGAAGAACGTGTTTCACCCATATGTTCACTCAAGATGTCTTCTTTGCATTGAAACTCTAGGCCGAGTTCACGTATAGCTAAGTAAGCGTCCTGACAGCGTCATGGGAGACCGAGCTTCTGTGATCTCTTGCTGCGACTTTGCATCCCCTTGTGTGCATCCGCGTCAAGCGAACACAGGTACGTGTTTTGACCGACAAGATTGCACACAGAACGGCCCAGACCACCTCTTGGCCTGGCCCTTCTAGGACGAGCGGACTATGCACTTTGGGGGACGAATAGATAGGCCCTGCCATCAGAGGCGGACCGCCAGGCGGCCTATGCATGTTTTCTTTCGAGCTCCGCCAGGGGACCAGTCCAGACGGCCGCCACTGCATCAACCGCATCACCTCTCGAGAGGTTATTGCGAACGTGTGCGCTTTCAGTAAATATCGGGCAAGGGGTTCTCGGAGAACAACGGCACGAATAGTGCTCTCCTTCCCATACTCAAGCGCAATATACTGGCTGTGAGACATGCTCTGTGTTATCTACAGGACGAAGGTTGATCAGTCGGCGGACCACCGACGCCACCTTCTCATTGACGCTATTGCCAGGCTACGCCCTCGGGGCGCCTAGGTGACCGAAGCTACAGCTCACGAGCAACCCGTTGATCCTCGGGAACTCGCAATGACGCTTTAACGTTCAGAGACTGTTCTCTCGCGTTCATAGATATGGACTCAATACAGCAGGGTCCTCAGCTTCTTCCGACGATCCCGCGAGTATAGCAGTTAGAGTTGTGCTCTTACGCTCGAATTGAGCTTCTAGCGTACGTTTATCCGCGATATGAACGTCTAGAAAAGCCGACACCTAGTACATGGGTATTTGCAGGCGGGCATGATGATACAACAGGGTTCCTAAACATGGATGCTGAGTAGCGCAAGGGATCAAAGCGATTGACAAGTCCAGATCTAGGGATGCGAAGGGCCGATTGTGCAGAACGTGATAAAAATGGGTAGACGGTTGTGGAGAGAAAGCGAGGATGTGGGGATAAGAGCGCGAGAGCAAAGGGTCACAAAGCGTAGGTAGCCTGACTCTATGGCGATGGCCCGATGACCACCTTGAGAGCCATCCTGCCACTCTCATCTGCGCCCTTGGACAGCAGGTCGAATGCCTTCGCAGTGTCGGCGAGGGAGAAACGATGTGTCACAAGTTTGTCGAGGTTGGTGAGTTGACCCGACCCTAGGAGCTCCAGCGCCTCGGGATACGTGTTGGCGTACCGGAAGGAGCCCTGAATGTCCACCTCACGAAGCGCCGCGGCGGACAGAGGCAGAGTCGTACTCCTCGTGCCCATACCGACGAGCATAAGTTTGCCGCCCGTGATAGCCGTCTGCGGGGAAAAGCGAGGTCAGAACCGGTTAGACTGCATTGTAAAGGGAAGAAGCATACGTGAATGGCCATCTGGATGCAGGGTTCCGCGCCGGTACATTCGAAAATGCAGTCGAAGCCATCATTCTGCTGGAAGGCCTCCAAAATCCGCTCGCCCGACTCCTTCGCACGGACAAGCTGCTCTTCGGGCGTCTTCGGCCTTGCCGCTGCCGGCAAGCAGAACGTCTGCTGCGCAAAGCCGTTATCCTTCGCAAAGGCCAGTCGGGCTTGGTTGATGTCGACGACGACGACGCGTCGTGCGCCGCGGGCGTTGGCAAGAGCACATGCGAGCAATCCGATGGCGCCGGCGCCGTAGACAAGGACATCCTGTCCCTTTTGTAACTGAGCTCGCCGTGCAGCGTGGATGAGAACGGAGAGCGGCTCGGCTAGGGCTGCCTGTTCGAAAGTGCACGAATCAGGCAATCTACGAACCCGAATTAGTGCGGTGAATCATATATGGTGAAGAGGATACTCACGGGTGGAGAACGTGCGCGGGGTGGTTCATACGTTCCTGGAGTGTTCCGTCGAGATGCGGGAAGGTTTTGGCACTGCTGGCGAAGCGCATCTCCTTGCAGAGGTTATAGCGGCCCTGCTTGCAGTAATTGCACTTCCTGCACATGATGCCGGCTTCGATGGCAACACGCTGGCCAACTGCGAAATCTGTGACGCCTGAACCGACAGCGGAGATAATACCGGCGGCTTCGTGCCCGAGAACTAGAGGCGCTTGAACAGCAAAGTCTCCGTTACGTCCGTGCATATAGTAGTGTACTATGTAGACGCGACAGTTAGTCGTTGTAAGTGACGAGTAGATGTAAGATGAGGCTTACAGTCACTGCCACAAAGGCCGGTAGCCTGTACAGCAACCTGGCATTGGTCTGGTCGTGGCGCATGTAAAGTCCTCTGCTCATAGCGGAGGTCTTTTGCGCCGTGAAGGACGGCAGCGTGTTGGGTGGGTAGAGCGACGGGAGACATGGCGGCGGTGAGTGTAGGCTGCGGGGAGGTGAACTGAGGTTCTTGCGTTATGCATTCCTGCGACGGCGGGACTTTATGTGCAGTGCAGGAGCAGGGCCTGGATAAACAGCCTGCTGGAAGTGCGTGTTCGACGAACAAGTTCGGACCGGATACCGGTGCCGCTCTCGTCTGATGCATCGGGTGACACCTTCGGCCCTGTGCGAATTCCGTACAAGCCGCCCCACAATTGATTGCGCGAACGCAAGAGGCCGAGACCTTCTGAATAGGCCGTCCGTCGATATGTCGTTCTGCTTCGGAAGTTCGTGTCGAGGAGCCGACGATCTGGGTATCTGCCTCCGGCTCTTGCTTTCTGCGCTCCTGGGCGATCGGCCGGGCTCTACGATGTAAACATAAAAGACCGCCTGTATCGGCATCTGCCTTGCACAACGTCTTTTGTGAGCTTTCTTGTATCAGTATGGATCCGACGCCTTCCGTTGCTGCCCCCGCCCTCTTCAACCTCACAGGCAAAAACGTGCTCATCACGGGCGCGACACGAGGTGGGAGTCCCGGCGCATCGAGCCTCTGCTGAACTTGCCTTCTTGACACACTCCCAACCGTAGGTATCGGCGCCGCCTGTGCAAAGGCGCTTGCCGAAGCAGGAGCGGCGCTCTGCCTAGTTCTCCGTGAGCCTTCGTCCGGGGCCAATCTTAACCTCGAGACTGTAATCGCTCTGCGCGAGCGAGGGGCCAAAGTCGAATATGTCCTCTGTGATCTGGGTGATCTTGCTGCTGTCAAAGGTCTCTTTCAGAAGGCTCTCACTGCTATGGGTGGTACCATAGATGTGCTCGTTAACTGCGCGGGTATACAACGCCGCTCTCCCAGTGTCTCCTTTTCAGAGAAAGACTGGGACGATGTGAGCGCCTACTCGCACTCTTCCGGAAATCAAAACTCTAACCGTGCGAACCGTGTAGGTCCTAGATGTTAACTTGAAGTCCGTTTGGCTACTTTCCCAAGCAGCAGGACAACACATGGTGCCTCGGCGTTCGGGAAAGATTATCAACTTCTGTTCGCTTCTCACTTTCCAAGGCGGTTTGACGGTCCCAGCCTACGCAGCCGCGAAAGGTGGCCTCGGTCAGGTCACGAAGGCGTTGAGCAACGAATGGAGTCAGCACAACGTCCAGGTCAACGGCATCTGCCCAGGCTACGTCGCCACGGACATGTGAGTGGTATTCGCATCGCTCCACCATCTCTTCTGCTTGAATACACTCCCGGGCCGCCTTACCCACGTCCCAACAGCCCTAACGCAACGTGCTCTGCCGATATACGATACGATGCTAAACGATGTTCACATAGGAATGAGAAGCTCCTTGCGGATCCCGTCCGTATGCGGCAGATCTCCGAACGGATACCAGCGGGACGCTGGGGGACACCCGATGATTTTGCTGGACCGGTTGTGTTCCTGGCCAGCAATGCCAGCCAGTATGTTTGCGGTGAGCTGCTGGTCGTCGACGGGGTGAGGACGTTTCTGCTCGCTCAAGGTCTTCCCAGTTATGCTCATTTCAATCGTTTCAGGGCTGGATGGGGCGGTGAAGTTCAAGAACGTGTTGCGCCGCATTCGCTGTTGTATCTCTATTACCATGTGTCACTTGACCGTAGCCAATGGCGAACCGACCGCAGTGGATTCGTCGACTTCTCAATGTTTCCGCCGAGCCGTACGCCAAATGCTCGCTCCACGTTGACTTCGGTGGACCTCGATCGAACTCCGATCCACTGAACAGCGGAGTCTTGCAGTGTGCACCAGGCGCCCGGAGCTCGGGATCGTCGAGAGACAGTTTCTGTACAAGTCATACCATGGTCAAACGCGCCACCCCTGCTCGCTTTCGCTATCGGAAAGCTTGAGAGGATCCGTGCGAGAGCCTAAAGCACACAAGGCAGTGCTGGCGGGCTTCTTGAGAACTGACTTCCGCGTTTCAAAGTCGGCTGACGGGATGCGCACCATCCTGTGTGGCTTTTCATTGTAGCATCGAACGATCACTCTGCATTCTGAACAGCACTGATACGAGGTTATCTGAGCGAGCCAGGGATAATTGCGTGTACACGATGCACGCGACGCGAGCAATCTCCATTACATCCGTGATGAAGTCAGTAGCATTATGGACGTCGCCGCACTCGGTGGGTGCCTGCGGCCGGTATTCTATGCAGAGATGGCCGTTGTTCTGGTACGGAAGACGCAGCAGGACCACCGGGCCGAAGATGATGTTATGTGGCCATTGCCGATACCGGGCCGCCCGCCCAAGCTAGGAGAAAGTAATGATCGCCCCGCATTGTCTTATAGTGCGGGGTAGGATATCAGAAACGTCTGCTCCGCGTAAGGGCCCCGGCAGCTACTTGCTTCGCCCCCAGACATCATGGCTCATGTGAGGGTGAGATCATCCGGAGTCAACGAGGGACGGATATCTTGGCTCAGAATCCAAGTATGTACAATCGGTTATGACTCCCAGTAGTCAGAGTAACCGGGGTGGGCTCGTGTCAGATATAGCTCGTGCTTGTTCTTCTCGTTGTTACCTGTGAAGAACAAGACGCGGCCCGATTTCCGAAGCGTGCTCATGCTGCTTAGTGCCTAGTCCTCCTGTCAGTCGCGCATTCGTGCCCGCCCACATTAATCCGCGGAAGCAGATTCAAATCAGCCAGTCGCCGTGCACCCCCTTCGAAGGCACGGTGAATGGCAGAAGGAGGGTGCTATGCGGATGGTCGGACGTCGGGCCGGAAATTTCGCGTGCGCTGGAGACCGCGGCGAGACATCGAAGGCCAATACGCAAGTTGCCCACTCGCAGAGATCGATCGAGGTTAGCCCGAGTGTTGGGGTCCTCTATACCTCTTTCCGCCTGGCGCGTAAGTACGATACGGCCGGAGGTGGTGCGAGAATGCGGGTGAAGGTTACGATCCAGGCGCCACTTTGCGGTAGCATGGCCGTCCTTGGTGAGAGCGACGATGCAAACAAATACTTCCAGAACGACTGAGGAACATCACTTACATCGAAGTAAGGATTGGGCGTTTGGAGTATGCCGAGATGCGCGTCATATTTTGTCGAGTGACCCCGACGAGAGCAAAAGGAAGATCACATCTCTATTACTTGGGGGAAGCAGCATGGAGCATGCAGCTACACTAATCATAGACGTAGTGTGCGTCTTGTGCGTCTTGAAACCAAGAAGTTGGTCACAAAGATCCTAGGTGGGCTGAGGGCAAACACCATTTACGATCAACGACCTTATGTCGTGCACAGTTGGAATCGAAGAAAACGGAAATAAGCCGGAACTGGCGTTCTCATACTCGCACATTGAGATCTTCAGATGACTACAGCCCCACGCATCACGGCTCTGTGAAGGCGTGTTGTAGTATAGCCATGATGCAAGGTTCAGACCTAGTGCGAACTTTTGAGTGCGGCAATTGCCAGTGCCAGTTGTATGCCCATCAGGTAAAGCATGCTATCCCGGAGGAGATCGAAGTTCTGGGAGTCTCAGTCAGAGATGTGATCCCATGTGAGGATTTCTTGCGGCACCATGTATGGGTCGGTACCTGCCCGGCCAAGCGTTGCTTCACGGACAGCACCGAAGCTTCAGGAGACGCTGGGAGACAAGATCCTGACACGATTTGCCGGCCATAGCAAGTTCCGAGTTTCATCGGGCCATGATGATCAGCAGAAGGCGCACAGACTCGTGTCGGCTCTTCCAGCAGGTTCAGGTCATAGACAACGAGCGCCGCGCTTGACAATGTGGTTGGGTTTCCCAGAAGGAAGCAACGGATGATACGAGACGTTCGTACACTCATTGAGCAGTGTAGTCAAGTCCTCCGCCGCTAAGTGTAGTATGTGTGGCGTTGTGAGCGACTCAGAGCTGTTCAACGTTCAGGTCAGGCTGTGTCGCCAGAAACGATAAACCGGATCAACCCAATCACGTTTTTCGGAATGCGGACCGATGACCGGGTCGTTGCCGCCGGTGACGCGCGTGCCTCCCTCGTCTTGCGCTCATCGTATAAGTATCAGGCGTTGAACATATCTATCGTCGCTCAGTGCCTTGACTCACGCATCACACATTGTGGATCCGAATCTCAGTGGCCAGCGTGAGCCCTCAGTGCCACCAACCAACCACGATAGTTCACTACCGCGTTTACGTGCTGCGGCGCGCCTATCGCACACCGACGAGTTGTTCGAATCGCCCCTCTCGGCTTTTGCCGCCCACTAGAACCCTTCCCGATGCTGGAGGGACAGCAGATTGGAACCTTAGGCTTCCTTCTCGTCGCAATGTTGAGCCCTGTAGAGTCTATACTGCTTCAGGAATAAGCGGGGGTGGGTACCCGTCGCCACCTCTGTTCTTGTCCCTGTGAACGCGCGCATCTTCATTGGCCACGAGTCACGTCGTCTACGCTTACAGATGCAGGACTTCCAAGAGGATTTGCGACTAACAACGGGTGGACCGTGAACGGCTATAGAGTCTGAGCGCTCGGCGCCCGCTGCTGCATCTGACTGTACCTGTTACCGTCGTGGCGTTTATAGCTAGGCGTGAGGCATCTGAGCTGGTATGTCTCTTCTCCGATAACATATGTGATTGCTCCATTGGCTATTCTGCTCCTTGACTGGGATAGAAGTACAGATCGGAACGTCAACTGTGGCTTCGGCCCAAGCTACATGCGAAAGCAGCTCTGACTGTCGTCGCTCAGACGCACAAGACCGACACAAGCCTCAACTTCGGGCGCCTTTGTGCACTTCTCTGCAATGGAAGTGTGGTGCGATCCCATGCGGTATATCATCTTCATGCGGATAGCGGTCTTCGACTTCCACTAGGCTCAACACCCTTATGCACGCACTTCGAATTCAGCGCCTTGTTTCTTACGCACACGAGACGCACCCGTACATTGCACAGTATGCTCTACGCAACGGCACCAGCACAGACTTGCTGAATCCACTCTCGTAGACTGCTCGCAGACAAATCATTCATCACCTTGTCCGCACGCGACGCTCGGCTTGACGCCTGCCGAACCCATATCTCCGCGGGCGTCATCGCACATAGCCCATAAGTATATATGGGCGTTTAGTTCGCCATGCAGCGACGGTTGGTGCCAGAAACTCCGGATCCGTTCGTGATCGGCGTATTCATTCTCGCCTCCTCAACGTTCAACTTCAAGTTGCGCCCCGTCTTGACGATTTCATTCCATGCCGGGCGGCATAAACTATGGACCTACTTTATACACTGGTAAGGACTGTCAAGCATACTTCATTCAGGTCCCTTGACGGACCAGGGCGCTCCAGGTGCCAATGGGTTGATCCCGGTTGATCACGCGGGACGGTGCCTGCTATCATGGGCCCGCGGGGCCCCGGCCGGGGTAGTCCACATATGTCGGCGCTTCAGAGACTTGTTTCCTTCGTCGACGGCGACCCCGAGCACCCACCCGCATAGGTGGCCATCATGAGCTCCTTCAGTAAATTCGCCTTCGCGTTTATCCTGATCGCAATGATCATCACCACTGCCGGGGCCTGCTGGCTCGACCACCGTTATCGCAGGCGACGACGAGTGCAGTTGGCCGCTTGGCCCGACTGGGGGAGCACACGGCCGGTGGCGCCCCAGTCAATACCGCAGCTCGTCGATGTGTATATGGAGGAGAGGGCGGGGAACTTGAAGTGGAACTCATTGCAGGTACGCGGGATGCTTCCGTAGCTGTGGCTCCGAGCTCACATCACCCAAACAGCCGATGTCCGTCATGTACAAACCAGATGTAGTACCGCCCCGCGTACACCCCACACCCAGAACAGCACGGCTGGCAGATCCAGAGATGAACAAAGACACGAGCACCGACGAGCAAATAGAACGCGCCGGCGCAGCCTTACCGCCGATAGGATCAGGACAGCTACAAGTCTCGCTGCTCATCGCGATGCCTTCACCTCTTGGACTGCCGTCTGCCGCACGAAAGTTGGAGGAGCACTGGCAGTTGCGAGAGTGCGCGATCGGATCCTGTAACGCGCCTGTTCGCTCCCACGAGCCGCGTCGATGACGATCCCGTCCCCGCTGCGCCTCGGCTCACGCATATGTCATTGGATCGACTATTCGGCCATTTGTTATTTGAGGTCATTCATGAGTAGCGTTGTCTATGCAGGGCTCTGTAGTGTATATCATACGGCATACGTGCCAAAGCCAGAAGATCCCCGCACGCTGCGATCCGTCGCGCTGCGGGATGGTCCAAGTGACGGTCGTCGGTCATGTCGGAGAAGTTGCAAGACAGCCGGCAAATTGCGCTGACAAAGGGCTGTGGCGCCATCAAGCATTTTACGACTTCCTTTCGAACCGCGACCTGCCTCAGAGCCGGCATGATCATGATCGCGCGCAGAAAGTCCGTAACTCGACACCAGGCCTGTTGCGGAGGGCGCTGCAGGGTCGGGCGGCGCAGTTATAGCTAGGTACAAAATGATCCATCTTTATCGCGCCGCCGCTTTGCGCCGCCGGCCAGACTCCAATTCTGCCTCCACCCGCCATCATGGCCTCGCTCCTCGAACGCTACGGTTTTCTGTTTGTCTGCCTGGCGTTTGTGATAGTTATGATGGGTATCTGTGTTATCAACCGCCGTAGGAGGCGATACGCGCTACAGAACTGGCCGCCGCTCGAGTATGTTCCGGAGGGAGTGCCGGAAGATACACCAGTCCCGGAACTGTCGGAAGTGTGGCTCGAGGACGAGAAGGGGATGGCGGGGACTAGCTTACGCTCATGGCCCGCATTACAGGTTAGTTGACTGCCATTCTCAACATGTCTCACTCGGTGTTGACGGCGCGACGTGCAGCCACTATGCGCGGTCAGGATATCTGATGCCCAAATGGAGCTTGCACCTACCACTTCCCCCATATCACCAAGACGGCTATTCCACTTCGCAAAACGTGAAGACGCTTGGGTATCGGGACCCCCTCTGCAATCACTCCCAGCGCCCGAGGCTGTTCAAGCGGCCTTCGTGGTATCCATGCCTTCTCCAGCACCTTGTGACAGCGAGAAGAGTAGTTCTTGTGGGACGATGGATGGTTGCGAGTACGCAATAGGAACATGTTCGATGGTCATACGATCAGGGACGAACAGTGCGTAATACGTGTACTGTCTGCTTCTAGCTCAGTGTCTAACCTTCGCGGACTTGCACTCGCAGGACCATCAGCGTTGTAACTTGGGGCGCTCCATCCCAACCTAAGTTATGGCTAACTCTATTGTTCCTGTACTATCAAGCTTGGACCATTTTTCCTCCCGACTCTTCTGGGTAAGCCACATGCTCCAGTAACCACCATCGGTTCGAACTGACCGTCTTCGACAAGTGCTACCATCTCATTGACACGCCTTTTACGACCACGCCTTTGCGTAAATCTCTCCTGCTGTTGTGCTTTTTACTGTTGTCTGTACCCCATCCCCCGCTATGTCTCATATCCACAAGAGGTGTATACCTTGTCCGACCTGAAGCGTTCATTATAACGTGAATATAATCCAGGATTCATCAATGTCATACATCATGAGTACACAACTCTGGCGATACTCTGACCGATACGCTGCATCCGCGGCAATCTTATAGCCTCTGGTAACGGATCCTGTGGTGTTGGCGGTGGCACGGGCATGCGCCAGGCAACATGGACCGTATGCGTGCCCAGAGCGTACTCGGCCATCTCCTCCTGACCGTTGTCCTCCCGCGTGGGCGATGGCCTGGGCGATGGCATTGCGAGCAGTACTGTCGCCTGAAACGTCGCTTGGGGCTGTGTATCCTTCTCAGGTGAATCTCGATCTTGCCGGGATCGTCGCCAGCGTTGATATGACGCATACGCTTGCATCGCCGGTGTTGCTTTTAGCGCTGGCTCATAGTCGGGCTCAGGTTGACTTAGTTGCTCGACCAAGCCCGAAATAGGCTATATCGTATAGACTCGCGTTGGCCATGGCTGTTCATACACAAGCAGAGGGCTTAGTGCGTACCATGATCTGCGGCCACAACTGTGACATCTTCCCTTCATGCCCCGACCCTGCCAACCCGTCAACGTCCAACACGACCTCATGCAGCGTCGGCTTCTGCGGCAACACCCTCGAGGTCGATGATGATCTACGCCCGGCTTGATTGCGCATATGCGTACGCCTCCAGCATGCGACAATGAGTATACCGAACGTGAATGCTCCGAGACATATACTAGTCAAAGCACGTTTAGTGGTAAGTTCTCCTGTACCCTGAGAACCGAAGTAGGGGCGAAGTAATAGACGCACAAGCCGATGATGATGGGAGGCGATGCACCGCTCGTGAAGAAGGACGTGCCATCTGGTGGCGCCGTCTGGAATGCTCGGCGGGCCAAGACCGTCAACGGTAGTACGACCGGCATGAGGAGGTGAAGGCAGGCGTCAGGTCGGTGCTCCCGGGCATAGCCTATGAGGGTATGATATCCCCTCAGAGTGGGCACGGCTTGAGAAGGGTTGATTTTAGCCTGGCGTACGCGCAGCTGGGTGTGGCTGCCATTCACGTCGCTGCGGTCAATATACTCTCACGAGTGTGCGATGATATAACTTGTCCAGTCGCGATTCTTGGGATGATCTCCTCGAAGAGCGAGCGCAATTGGTTGACGAAGATTGCAACAGACTGGCAGAACTGGCTTGCCAAAGACCGATTGAATGCTGCTTTCTGCCGGCACAAAGATGTATGGACTGGTGAAGGAGATCTTCAGGGGTGCGCGCCTACATGGATGGATGACTTCGAAAGAACGTCGGATACGTCAATAGATCCATATCATGCTTTGCAAGACGTTCAGCGAGAATGTCAGCCTGCTGGAGCGCAGTCAAGTAGGGAGCAGGAACAAGCGGAACACTCGTGTGACATGGGAAAGGGACGGCGCTTACCTCCTCGAGAACCGGGTAAACGATTCAAGTATATGACGGAAATCCGAGACAATGCATTTAGTGTACAGGTATTGCGTATATAGTACAGCGCATGAAGTCGTGAAAGGTCGTAGAGTACGAAGGTCCAAGAGGATAGGGAAGCGGGGAGAGTCTCGCGTGAAAGGCAAGTCGTCATGAAACGCTTGAGCGAGGAATGACGGCTGTACATGTTCCGATAGCGTACTCGCGATTCTGCCAACTGCTCGCATCCGAAGATGAGCTGGATTCGCTCGTGATCGATGGTCTGCGTGATGCATCCTGGCTGTGCGATGGTGAAGGCATGGTGATGATAAATGACACCTGGGCCATCTCACTGGCTGTTGATGTGTCGGCGTGTGGCCGGGATGATGATGACGATGACCTGCGAAAAGTAGTGGGTAGAAACCGAGGTTTGTTCGCTGGAGAAGCCGCAGCCTCGTGTGCGTCGGCGTCAAAGTCGTGCACCTTGGCTACTGACAACGGCTACAACACACTGTTTAGCCTGATCCGTATTCACGAATAGTTTGTGGACTCTACCTGGAAGTCGTCGTCTAGCCTCCCCTTTACAATCTCCGCACCCTTCTCCTCCACTACGATGTCCGCCAGCCGCGGAACCTTCAACTCCCCCTTACTATTGCGCAATGCCTGTTGCGAAGGCGCTACTAGTCGCACATCCCTCCTCCGACGGTATATTTGGTGGAATGCAATACCACCAATAACCAGAACGACAAAAAGAGAGATGAAGACTATGAGAAATCCGAGCAGCATGGTCGTAGTTCCCCCACTACTAAGTCCGTCGCCGGTCGACAACGCCCGCTTGTGTGAATTGTCCATAGTGGGGGGCAGAGGATTATAGAGGGGTATGAAGCGGATAGTGGCCCTCTCGCTGGGTCTATATGCTGACTGTGATGGTGGTGGTTCGGCTGAAAGGTGTGTTCGGCGGGGATCTCGGGTGGTGGAGAACTCAGAACCCCCGCACGTCACAAACGCGGCTTGATCGGCATCTGACGGCGATTCATGCCAAGTAAACTTTAGCAATAAACCGAGCTTAAAATCTTATCTCGGTCGCAGTACGTAGTTTGTAGACCGCTGTGGGCGCAGCAGGACTGGGCATGATGTCAGTATACCTACGGCTCACAGCGCACAGCTCGAGAGGCCGAGATACTTCTGCTACGGGGGAAAACACACAGTACACAACTAGGCGCTTCGGGCAACCTCGGGCCGCCCGTGTCAACAGCATCACCGAAGGTGCACTAGCGCCTCGCTTGAGCTTGTAATCGGGCCACCATGAGCGCTTCCATCGCTTGCCGATATCATCTTGTCAGCTCTGGGGCACTACCAGTAACTACGCTTAGGGGATGGGGACCGCCGGCTCGGGAATGTGAGCGTACTTTGAGGTCGCAATCGAGATGGCGAATACGGGTTTTTGTAGAGACAGTTCATCCTGTGTACTTCCTGTCACTACATAGGTATGCTTGGTAGTCACGCGAAGGTCTGCTTGAGCGTAGATAGGTGTAAACCCACCAGTCAACACGCATACAGTTTGTATTACAATAGCACCATAGGGTTCTCGAGAGCGACGAACGTGGGAGGCTCTGCCGTTCCGACACCATACGCTACTAGAAGCAACGCAGGATTACATTGAGGACTAGCACAATGAGTATGAGGAGGTCATGGCACCTACAGGCGTGGTGAAAGTTGCCATTATTGGTACAAGTCCATATTTTCGAGATCTATCAACAGTCATGAATCCCTTCGCGCAAGTACAGGGTGCTGTGCACGGCGGTCATGAAGTAGTGAGTCCAATGATGATGGTAGGAGTCTGGTACTCGGTACCGCACACAAGCGAGTCAGCAGCCCGTACAAGTTGATCCTGCGTGGGAATGTAAAGGGCGCGTGGGCCTAGATCTCGCGTCCGGCCGACGAGCAATATGCTTGTAACGACCTGCACGATGCACACAGGAGCGAGCACTTGAGTCCAGTAGCTGCGTACGCGATATACTGCCGCGTGTGTCTCGGAAAATGGAGGCCACAGGGATATAGGGGCCAATTTCTGACCGCATCCACACCCGGACGGAAATCAGAGTAAAAGCGCCCGTGTCCCGCCGACCGGTCACGAAAGCCCACTGTGTGTGGAAGCTGATCAACAGCGACGACCATCACCAACAATGTCGTCCGAGGAGCAGTACTCGTCCTCAGACGAGGCCGTGCCTGTCAAGAAAGCGCGTTCCAAGAAGAGGCGCGTGCAGACGGCACGCGCGTGCGAGCGCTGCAGGTCCAAGAAGAGTTTGTCTGTTACCTCCGGAGTGTACGATCCGCACTGACTCCCGCGATCCAGCGCGCTGTAAGTGCTGGTCTCTGTACTTATCTGCGCCACGAAGCTTGGAGGGCACGCCCTTAACGTACCTTTGAATAACATGGGCGGCCTTTAGGTGATGGCGTACCCGGTGGAATTCCGTGTTCGCAGTGCACTGCGGCAGGAACGATATGCGTCTTCTCCGACAAGCCCAAGGTGCGACGTCTAGCTTCCCGTAGGTTATGTGGCGTACTGAATTGCTATGCTTCCATACAGAAACGACGTGACAAAGCGTACGTGCTAACCTCCACGCTCTGTGCAAGCGCTTCATCCCCCGCAGGTACATTGACGGTCTCGAATCACGGGTTGAACGACTACAACATCTACTCGAACGCGTGCGTGCAAGATCCGTCCCAGTTCCTATCACGCACAAGGCTCACAATCAGGGCAGTTGCACCCCGGAGAAGACTTCACCGGCGAGGCGAACGACAATGAACATGCTCTTGAATCCCAAGTCAACGCCTCGCGGGGGACTGGTACCGTACGGACGGTCGAGGACGAACTGGGTGTCAATGAGTCTTCTACATTCGAACCTGGTTTGTATGCCAGTGGTAAGGGCAAAGCTCCAGATTCTCGGGGGTCAGCCACATCCAACACTGCCAGCTCCGAAAATGGCGACGACCCGTACACATCATATTGGCCTGATGCCATAGACGCGATGAGGGAGAACCCCCAGATCGGCAACCCCGTCGATCACTACTTTGGCGAAAGTAGTGGCGCGCGCTTTGTCACTACTGCATTGAGCATCCGCTCCAAACTGGAAGGGACTGAACAGGATGTTATGCAGCAAGTTGCAGAGACCGCAAAGGACCGCCCGGACTTTTGGAAGCCTCACCCGGTACGGCTTGTCATGGTCTTCTTTCAGGTCTGCGCTAACATCTCTTATGGCACCAGTGGGAGCTACAACAGTCTGCGCCTAAACAAACACCGTTCATCTTCCCGGATCCGGACCTTCTCAAACACCTCACCGAGTCCTATTTCACCACCTCACACCTTATCTCACCTATCCTGCATCGTGGCACATATGAAAAGGATCTGGCAGCGGGGAAGCATCTGAAGGACGTCGGCTTCGCTTCTGTTGTTCTCCTCGTGTGCGCAATCGGTGCCCGCATGAGCAATGACCCTCGTGTACTTATCGACGACACGGGAGAGCCCAGACACCTACACTCTGGCGGCTATGAGTGGTACAGCCAGGTGCAACTCGTGCGCAACGCCGCGCTTGCCGTGCCGACATTGCACGATCTACAAGCTGTAGCAGTAAGCTATCCATCACTAAGAACGCACGCCCTCCAGCTGATGCCCGACAGTTAGGGACGGCATACTCCGTCGGAACATCGCCGGCGCGGGCATCGTGGATCCTGGCCAGTACTGGCATCCGAATGGCCATGGACATGAGTCTACACCGCCGTCACAAGACCATGAGGAATACACTCGAAGGCGAGTTGTGGAAACGCGCCTTCTGGGTGCTTATATTCCTCGACGTGTGGAACAGCTCTTTTCTTGGGCGCCCGACGGCCATAGCTCTTGATGGCTTTGATGTTGACTTCCCTACCGACGTCGACGATCGGTATTGGACGCATGATGATCCGGCCAAGGCATTCGTACAGCCACCTGGCGAATACTCAGGCGCGGCCTATTTCATGTACGGCCTCAAGATCATTCTGATCCACGCCCATGCTCTGCGCACCATCTACTCTCCGGACAAAGGACGCTCGATCGCGAAGCTGGGGCGAGAGGAATGGGAGCGGCGCGTGACGACCGAACTTGACTCTGCGCTGAACCGTTGGTCGGATTCACTGCCCGAATACCGTGCGTCATCTCAAATTGATACTATGCTTGTCGAGCTCATGCCGAATAGTCCAGTGGAACGACGTCTTCTTGGACCCTGGGGTTGAACCGAATGATCAGAAGATCATCCAGACCTCCGTACTTCACTTGCTATACCTTCATACACGCATCACCATCCACCGTCCATTCGTCGCGCCAGCCGAGGGCAGCTCACAACTTTCACTCCCCAGTCTAACGATCTGCACGAGCACCGCGCGCTCTATAGTGCATGTCATCCAGGCGCAACGCCGTATCCTGCCGAACGTCGTTCTGCAAGTTCCTATAGTTAGTCTACCGTCCGATATCATACCTCTACACGTACTCATTTGCCCCCAGGTTCCTTCATTCATGGCCGGCATGGTGCTTCTGTTGCGCGTTTGGTTCGCAAAGCGCGCGGGAATGCGTGTTGATTCACTGGCTGACATGAAGTACGTGTTTGCTGTCATATACTTCATGGACGAGGCGGAGGCCAGGTACGTCATCTATAGCATGTCTAGTGCAAGCTTTTGAGCTCGTCGCAGGTGGCCACTCGCTGGTCGTCTCAAAGACTTATTGCGAGCTCTAGCTAACTTCGGCGAACTTCCTCTGCCTCCCGCAGTCAGCACGAAGCGGTCTCGTGGGGGCGGAGAACCACATTCCACACCGCGTCCGGCGCCACACGCAGCTTCAGCGTCACACCAGCCGGCGTTCGCCCAATACTCCACTGATTCTGTGAGCAGAAGCTCTAAGTGGCCGGCAGAGCAACCAGCGGAGAAAGCTGCCGCGTCCAGCTCATCTATCCAGTTGAGCTTTGGACCGCCCCTTGCTCGACGTGCCGACGGATTGTACCCGTTCGACCCCGCGTCGACTGGCATGTCCACCAATGCCACGCCATATGCCTACATCGCCACGCCTAGCAGCTCACAGGATCCCGAGCCCTACTATTCCGCCGACAACACAACCTCACATGCCACACACCCTTTCCCGTCGTCTTATCCCTCGATACCCTTGGATCCCAGCACAACGTATCCGATGAGGCCTCATACTTCGGCCCCGTCCTTCGCGTCCTATCGTCATACACCGACAGAGGTCTACCCTGTCAACTACGGCGATTCCGGCTACTTTGCTGCCACGGGGACTCACAATACGGATCCTCCACTCTCGGAATCGATCGAGATGGATGACTCGCACTTCATGAATCTTATGGCGCCCGGAATGGGCCAGCACGCACCCATGGCGACAATGTGGTCTTCGTTGCCGGCGACATTCCAGTGAGTATCTTCGTGTAGTACCTGATCGCTTACGGTAGTTAACTGTTGACAGAATGGAGGACTGGGATCGATACGTGTCAACTATGGCTGGGTTTGCTAGCGGAAGCCAGGAACAGGGTGGTGTTCTCGGTTGAGGACCCGGCGATATCACATTTTCTACTCTTGGTCTCTACTCTTGTTGTTCTTGTGCTACAATACGGGTGTAATTTGGAAGGATTCTGTATACGTTTCGTGCTGGCGTCGTGGGGATAAACCTCCCCGGAATTCAAAGCGCATCCGTGTGAAGAAATCAGGTAAGACGATGTGCATACAGTTTGCTGCATATGGTCCTCAGGAACAAGCCGAATACAAACGATCGCCGTGCACTGAGACGACCCATCCTAGCCCAAGTTACACCGCATGCGCGTTATCGACGACTTCCGAGCTACCGGACCCATGTCGCGATACTGTGGCACTATAGTATCTGATGCTTGAGCATCCGCAAGACGGACTGAAACGGGCACATACATGATGTCGTGCGAGCTTGAGTCGTGTGTCTGCACTGTCTTGAAGTCCAGAGTGCTCTCCAGCTCAGCAGTTGAACGTTCGCCACCGCTCGCTGAAGATTCGCCTTGGATATTCACATCGTGGCTGACAATGCTCGTCTTCGTTCTGATATGGCCACAGGATCAGACTCGCTGCGCCAGGTCGGAAAGAGTTGACGTACTTGACACCGTCGTTGAATGAGGTCTGCTGGGTTTGATACCCGAACTCCATGTCTGCGAGGGATGTACGTGCTCGGCGTGCACGCATGGCTGGTCTGCAGCCCACCCACCCAGCCACAGTGCAGATACCTCTCCAATAAGTCGCACGGGCTTCATTGGTGAAGCCAAAGAGACCAAAGATAGCAAAGGCGAGTATGGTCGATGCCCACTGGGAGAAGTAGAACTGGGCTACACTGGAAGGCCCGCCGGCCACAGTCTCCGCGTATGTGATGACCATCGGCTCCCAATGGCTATGATCGGCAGTCCATCCACCATAGAAGGGTGGGGGGTGATTGGTGAGGGAGTTCGTGATGTAGAGGGTGACCGCGATGATGCCGATGGGCAAGGTGAGAAGGATGTCGATGCTTGAGAGTACGAGGATCCGGAAGTAGTTCGTGTGTGCTACGGAGTTGGCGCTTTGAATGAAACTATTCATGTCTCGCCTCTGGTGATAGAACACTATCGCGACTCTGGCTAAGAGACCAAAATGTCAGTGTCTTCGACGTAGTGGAAAGACGTTGAGAACGTACGATAGTATATGAGCAAAGAAATCAAAGGAGGTATCACACTCAGAGGCTTGAGGAGTATGATGTTGAGAATCGATCCGTCTAGGACATTACCACAGCCAAAGCCCTCGTTCACCTCGAATCGGGCTACCTGGACAGTGTAGTCTGGTTGTTATCGGTCAGCACAGGCTCTTGTGGCACCTGATTGATCACTCACAGATGGGTCCTGCCACTAGGACAGGGATTACAAAACCCAGTGTCCATTCGATCGCAAGATTCTTGCGTCTCTAAGATGCGTCAATAACGTTTCTCAAGGCCGTACGAAGATGATGGATGAATGCGAAGACCCACCGCTGCTTTGTTTGACAGATCTATTGCTGGTGAGCTGACGATCAAGTATAGCCGACGAGTTATGATCAATGTCGCCATAGGTTTGACGACGTATGTGATCAATTGCATGCGCGAGACTGGAATGTGGTGGTCAGCGGGCTCGAGGGTGGTCGTGTCGGAATGAGAGACATCATACCAATATCACAGTACACAAAGAGCTTGATGTCGGCGTTGTCGGACCAGATCACGGCATCGATCCCGTTGCTAAGGTTCTCAACGCAAAGCCAGAAGCACAGGAAGGTGACACCGAGATTCCAGCCTTGCCGGACGAAGTTGGTCAAGAGAACAAGCAACAACATCGCGGAAGACACGATGCAGGCGATGGGATAGAGAGGATATGTTGGGTCCACGGCGGCCATCTTGTTACAACCGCGTAGTGAGTGGAAAGCCGGTGTAGGTTATATAGCTGAGATACTTGTGTCGTGCCGACGGCTCACACCAACGAGGGGCTCTGCGATGATAAGATCATCCTTGTGAAAGATGGAAAGAGAAATATAGTATCCATCTATTGACGGATACTGCTGGACAGCTGGCGTGGATGATTGCATCGAAGAAGTTGCTAAACCTTCACATGTGGAGTCAGCTATTTAGTAGTCTATGTATGCCTCGGCCCTCGCCTGTACCAACTGCACCTAAGATATCAAATAAGAGTCGTAGCCTGCAAGAAGGTTGCATGGGATATCCGCGAATGAGGCAGACTGCTGCGAGCCATTCCCTCAGAAGTGGTCATCACCGTAGGTTAGGTGGAGTCCAACTCTCCAAGAGAAGCCTCTCCTTAACCGTACATGGGCAAAAGTCTACTCAAAGGGGTTTGTCAGGATATATGGGTATCAAAGAAGAGTGTTCTGCACTTCCCGAACGTGACCGTGTTCGTATCTGAGGCTGTGAGTTTAGATAGGTACCCGCATGTCTATGAGTGGGAGTGTTTGTACCACGAGTGGTATTCAGGCGTACCTCATCGGTGGTATGCGCTGAAGCAGCGGCAGGCATGGAAGCGAGGGCAGGACCAGGGACCGACGTGGCGTGCGCCCGAGATGACTTCTTGTCTCAGGTCATTCTTAGAGGTCGTGTCCGCTCTATAGGCTATCTTTCCATCTCATACCGAGAGCCTCGCCCGCCTTCCATACCACGTCACCACTGAGCTTAGTGGGTGTAACTTTCAGAGCCATATGTCGGCCTTCATCACCAGTGAGGGAGGTGCTGCGCTGATGATCAACTTCTAATAGGCAGCCGAAAGACGGACGATGCGCGACAAGGTCATGCCTTGCCAAATCATCTCTCTCATATAGTGCGGGGAGTAAAAAGACGTAGATTCCGCCGAGTCGAACTCGGAGCTGCGAGCAACAGTGATGGTGGTTGGGCTCAGGTCGTCGCGGACGTGGCGCTCGGCTCGTGCTTTCGGCCGATACGCGTTATGTCACGCTTCTGTGATGCTGTCGGACATAACGGAATCTCATCTTCCACCCGCGTAGCATCCTTGGTTCCTGCACTGAAGAGCGCGTCGACAAATGCCAGCGATACAGGATTAGGGCGTGCAAGAATACTGTGACCACGTGGTACTTAGATAGAAGATATGGTCCACGGATAGGATCAGCTGCGTGGATGACCTCCGAGTCATGTTGTATACGTGGCTCTGATACTGTGACGAGTCGCGGTCATTGCTGGCCGTTGCCTGTAGCTGGTTCAATGGCCCGACGCCAGACATATAAGTCTCGCCCTATTCACCAGTATTCACCCTATCTCCTCGTCAGACCTGGGCTGTTACCTTGCGGAAGATGAGGAATGCGCTCTCTCATCCCGATCCTCTGGCTACCACTCAGGCTCGCAACCGCTCCGGCTCGTTGGTTCTCTCTTTGAGCTCATCTGGCGACGAGAGCCCTGTGTCCGCCGATGAGTACGGGACAATACCTGGTCAATGGCCTCTCACAGACGACGTACTTGCACCGGGGTCACCCACTTCTTCGAGTTCGCCAACCTCGTACGCCCAGTCCGGCCGGTTCTTCTTGACAGATAAGGTCGTGCGGTTTCTCGTGCGTCCTCTCTCCGTGTCATTGCCCGAGGGTTACTGATGTAACTCCCACAGTCCGGGGGCATCTTATTCCAAGTGCATAGTAGCGTCCTCGAACGTCACTCAGGATGGTATCGCGCGTACTTGTCTCAACCCGAGGATGCGCTGCCGCAAGGCTGGCAAGAAGCGCAGGATGTACCCGGAGCACCCGAGGGTGTACATATCTTCGTTCACAGCGAGCGCCGCGATGTATCTTGCTCTCGGCCGAGTTGCAAGGACTCTGTCGCGAACGCGATCGTTCTCGAAGACGTCAGCGCCGACGAGCTCGAAGCGTTCTTTTCCGTCCTGTATCCCCGGTGAGCCTACTTGTGCCATTATGAAGAGTGGTCGAGCTTACTGATGCATCGTGAAAGGGACTTCGATACATTCGGTCTGAATGTGCCTGGTTGGACTGCCGTTCTCAAGGCCGCGCACCTATGGGATTGCCCTTCGATCAAAGCACTCGCCATCACACGCCTCGATGCCATCCTCAAGTCCACTTCTTCCAACACGAACTTTGACCCAACCTTCAAGCGGCTAATGCTCGCCCAAACATATGATGTGCCCGAGTGGGTCGAGACGGCGCTCTCTGGCTTGTGTGGGCGCGGTGCCGCACTTACCGAGGGGGAGATCGCGCAAATGCGCGCTAAGGACGTGTGCAGAGTTGTGCAGGAGAGGGAGGCGAGACTGCTGGATATGGCTGCGGAGCATTTTGTGGATGCGAGTGACTCGGTCGATACTGGGGTGTCGGAGAAGACGACGGATAAGGCAAACCCGGCTGGGTCCGCACCTTTGATGGTACAGGTTGATGGCCGCCCCGACAGTGGCACAGCACGCTCGCAAGGGTGAGATATGTCGGTCGAGGTTTATCAGTGGCTTGATCACTGATGCTCATACGTTGCAGGGAGCCGCCCGTCGAAAATTCACTGGTTGTGGAGCAAGACGTGTGGGTGTCCCTCGACTTGGAAAACATCGACGCCGCCGTTCCACCCTTGCTGGCCAACCTCACAGCCAAGAACCTCGACTACACCGCTAGCGAGATTGTCGCATGGGCGAACAGGAGCGTGGCCGAGACCGACATGCACTCGCTCAAGCGCGTAGCAGAGCTCATCGTCAAAAGGGCAGCGCGTCTCGCGAACACAGATACGGATCTGTACTCCTGCCTTTGCCTGGTCATATCCTCGCGCATCAGCGACGACATACATCGCCAACGTGACGGCGAGATCATATTCGGCGATATGATCTTCTGGTCGTTCATCCTGGACGCGTTCACAGACGCTTTCGATCTCGTACGCGGGCGCTGCAGATGTCACGAGATCTGCGCTGCAGGAGAGCTCGACTGCCGACTGGCTTTGACGCGCTTCTTGGGCACGCTGGTCAGCAACTCCGTCGCACAGGGGTATTACGTGCGTGCGTTGATCGAGTTCTTGTTTTCGGGGATGCACCAACCCCGCGAGGACGACGCGGAGGCGTTGTGCGAGCTGCTGAGGACTGCTGGGGCCGCGCTGGATACGGCTGAAAGGCGTGAGACGATGGATGGGTATATGGACCGGTTGAGGGCTATGGAGATGAAACTCACGGCTGGTGGGGCCAGGCGCATTGAACCGCTGGTAGAGGTGAGCTGTATAACGGACCTGCTTGTTGCTACAGATACTGACCCTCGTGCACCAGGAAATCATAGGGTTGCGCGAGCGTGGATGGGAAGTAGACGCTACACGTGCTTCATGAGTAGACAATCTGGATACTTCACCATCCTTGACGGGTTTCTGGATCTACAATGTTAGCGGGTCACTAGGTGGGATCATCGATGTACTCTTCATAGCTTGTCGACAACTCGGCGCGGCGAATGTCTGGTACGTTCAATGGCGAGCGCATCGCGTTGTTATTTGACTAGTGTATGATGCATTCCGAACGAGTCCTGTCATGTGCGAGCGAGTCTTGGTATCCGAGCGAGAGAAATAAGTCCAAAAAGAAACAACGATCCAAAGCCTTTCAAGCGCCGCCCATCCCAGTGATTCCGACCGTGTCGCGGATCTTCGCGATCTCGCTGGCGGTCAGCGCGCCCTTACTGGCGTTGAGATAGTCCTCGAAGGCCAGATGTGCGTCTGCGCGCACGGAGAACTGGGATCTGTGAACCCAAGCATCAGTCAAGATCATCGAAGGGGATGGAAGAGATGAGGACTGCACGTACACGATGAACTCGTATAACTTCTCCCAGTACTGTGGATTGCTGATCGTGGTACGGTATGTCGAGTCGGGCGGGCCGGGTTCCGCAGCAGGTTCAGCGCTGAGCGTTACGCCGTTCTCGTCAACCAGCGCGATATCCTTCACTTCCTCCCCATCCATACTTGGACTCGGGCTGGGCGACAATACGACGGATGGAATGCGGCCATGGCCTCTACGCTTGCCTGCACTGGCTGTACTTTCCGCGGACGGGAGCTCGAGACTGCTCTGGCCGGGCAGGGTTGACACGGGCGAGGGCGCTACGGGTTGAGGCGCGACGAGCGGCGGCGCGGCGGGTGTAGATGCAGGTTTCGACATGATGTTCACGGTATCTCCGTCCTTAACGTTATACTCCTTCAACAACTTGGTATCCGCAAGAGCTTTTCCCTTCAACAACAACCTCTGAGTATCGGCAGGTGGTGCACCGGACTGAGAAGCGATCTGTCGTTTGATGCTCTCGATCGAATCGGCGGGCGAGACGGCGAGGGTGACGGAGAAAGAGGGTTTGAGTTGTTTGAATGTGACTTTGATGTTGCTGGCTTTATAGAAGGGCAGAAAGGCGTCAGGGATTTGTGGAGAGAGCGGGGTAGATTAGATTATGACGCACCGATGGAGGACTCTCCTTCAGAG